GCAAAGCAAGGGCCCAGGACTCGGTAGCTAAAGTCCCAAATCCCAAATGCCTTGTCAACCTAACAAAAGAGGCAACATGTAAGCAAAGAAATGGTTAAAAGCTTCTTTACCTTATGTTTTTTTTTTCATTAGTTTTATTTTCTTTTCGTTTGTCTTACTTTTAATTTTCTATTTCAAAGTCTTTTTTTTTTTTTTATGGAAAGTTATAACTGTGAGTCAATCAATCAATAACTTTTTAATACGTTGAATGCATATACACTGTTACATGTCGATTTTAACTGGTAATAAAAAAACTCAAGAAACAAACTAGTTCTTGTTTATAATAGGAGTTTTTTTTTTTTTTTTTTTTTGTATTTTTCTTTTTTTGAAGAGATTGAAAGATATCTTTTTAACGAGCTAGTAATTAGTCAAATGGTATCTTGATCATCAAAATGGAAGTAAAAAAATTGTGAACTGATTTGTTACCAAAGTTATAATTGAAAATTATGATTAAAAAAGAGAGAGAGAGATAGATAAATTTTAATTTGTCTTTTTGTGAAAGTTTATGTGTGTTTCAACATCACCTTTGTTTGTATCAATTAATCTTCCCAATTCTCACATTTTTAATATTTTCTTTTCGTCAATTTCCATCCACAAACTAATGAAATCTTTGATGTGATATAACTTTATTTCTTAATTAACTCACTAATTTTTTTTAAGAAAAAATCTTTAAAAAACATCCGTCATATAATTGTATTAAATTAACAAGAATGACCTCATCAGAATTTTTTTTTTTTTGAAAAAAACAATAAATACTTATTTTACATCACATACAATCTAAAAATTTATAAAACCACCAAATCAAACATCAATATATTTATTTTATTTTACATGTTCATGAAAACACACCATAATCTAAAAAAGTCATGAATATTTGTGCTCACGCACAAACGTGCACCAAGCTGAAGACCAAATAGATTTGTATTCTTTTATAGATGTACTATACCAGCAGTAGCTATTAGTCTGATTTGTATCCCTTTACAAAATACCTCTTAAAAAAATTTATAATTTAATTTTAATTGTAATTCTAAGACAATCACACTAATAGTTGATGCTCAAGCAGCGTATTTGTATAAGAACATAAACCTATTTGATCTTCTACTTGATGGTTTACTAATTTTTACACTATATGTGGTTTGAAATAAGATTTTTATGACATCTTGTTTAGATGTCGTTAAGACAATGTTTTTGAATTTGTAAAAGAGGATAAATGTTTAGATTGTATGTGATTTAGAATATAAATTATAGGATCTTTTTTAGCTTTTAATAGGATAATTTTTATGAATTTTAATATAATTTTTTTGGATTAATACTCTCACATGTCTTTAAATAATAAGTCAATTTCAGTCGGTTCCTAAAAAAAGGCTTCTAATTTGTCATTATAATTTAAGCTTGTTTTAATTAATCTATCATTATAGTTAAAATTTTTTACTAAATTAAGCATGTGATTTACACTTAGTATGTAATTTGATAAAATTATTTTTATTATTTAGCACAAATAATCTATATCTACTAATATGAAAATTAATTTTTAAAAATTGATTTAAAAATTCTGACCGGAAAGATAAATTAGAAACAAGTTCAAAATATAAAGATAGATTGAAAGGAATGTTTTGTTTTAGAAATAAAATGAAAAATTGGCCTATTATATAAAGAAATGTGAGAGCATTAACCCAATATTTTTTTTTCAATAATAAAAAAAATTTTCAGATCAACTTCCATGTCAATTGAGATTTATTTTTTGAAAAATTAAGAACCCACCAACTAGATAGACCAGTGCATTCAAAGAAATTTATTAAATTTCTTCGCATGCTTGCCCCAAGGTTTGGACTTAGAAAGTTGAGGAAAGAAACAACCTCCTTAACCATCAAGTTAACCTTTTAAGGATTGAATTTTAATATGATTGAGTGATGATGCTTCAGCCATGCTTTTTTTTTCAAAAACGTTGGGTGGTCAATTGAGAAATAAAATCATGCCACATCAACAATTCTTTTAGTTCGTAGATTGATGGGAAAAATTGAAAAATATGATGAAAGTGGGAGAGATTAATTGAATAATATTGAGACACTCCACAAACTTCATGTTAAAAATTAAAATTTACTCATGAAAAAAAATGGGTATATTTGAAAGTTTTTTCTTCTATACAAATTCAGAGGTTGGAATTCAAAATTTTTTGAAAAAAAAAAAACTCATACCAGTTGAGGTACAACTCATCAGCATGATTATTGATTAGAAGCCCCTAGAGGCCATGCTCTTTGATATGATTTAATATCAGTATGATTTCAAGCAAATGTCCTCTGCATTTTCCCAGTCCGAATGCCCTTTTACGTTCTGCTTTTCACTCTGCTGTTTTTAGGGCTTTGCTTGAAATTGGCAAAGAACTAGATCGACCCAAGATAGTATAATTGCGTAATATTAACAACAACTTAATTAATCCTGGTTTATAATTTTCCCACGTAGTATATTGGTTTTTCCAACAGGAGAAAAAACAAAAAACCGAACCTGAACTGATGGGCAAACAACAACGTCCTGAGGATAAGGTTACCTGGATAGATACAAGAATGCAGGCAAGTCCAATCGGAAACGACAGAGTTCGTAATGCAACCAATTGAACAGATTGTAAACCCGCAGACATCAATGGCTATCTCTCGAAGATGGATCCTTTTCAAAGAAAGCACCCGAGGAGTAAACGGGGCCTTAAGATCTTGATGCATTAATTATTTTTGGAGTTTAGCTAGAACTAGAATTAGAAACCGATAGTTCCAATGTGAGAAACATGTGGTTGGATAGACTATGTAACATTGACCGCAGAATCATAATCCATAACTAACTTTCACGATTGCGTCCCGGAATTCTCGAAAGATAGATTACCCCATTAGACAACAAAGTTTAGAAATTCTGATTCTTTTAGTCAATTACTGGAACCAAATCTGAATCATATCTAAATTTGTTTCAGTGCTTAAAAAAAAAGCAAGTGAAATGCTGACGGATAGGAATTTCTCTGTTAAAGGCTTAAAGGATATGCTTGACTTTAACAGTGTCAGGTCTGAAATTAGTTTTACCACTTGAAAATTATCGGAGTTTTTTTTTATTAATGAGGTAGTTTTAAAACCTTACTTTTAAAAATGATAATTTTAATCTTATTTTTTAAAATAGTTTATTTATGAAATATAAGATGTACAAATTATTTTTTTCTTTTTAAAGTACATGCTGTCATTTCAAAAGAATGAGTTGTGTGACAAATTAAGAGCACGAGTTTTTTCACTATTATACACTTTGATGACTTTAATACTGTAAATGTGATACTTAAGAGACTCATCTTTCTTTTATCGGATCACTCGAAAACCATTACCACCACCACTATCATCCACTTGCCTATCTCTACCACAAATTAATCAATGGGTCATATTACGTGATTAATGGTGCATGAAAATATTTGAAACTAGTTAAAAGAAAAACGCAATGTTGCAACTGCTTTCAAGATCTTTTGTCAAACATATTATAGACACATTAATTTCTATTACTTATAAAGAAATAAGAGTTGATCCATTATGATTCATAATGATTCAAATTCTTCTTTTAGTTTAACTAGTTTATATATATATAGTGGTTGTAATTGTTGACAATCCTAATAACGATGGGCTAGTTTATGCAAATGTGGTTTGGTTCTTCTTGATACAACTTTCGAACTTTGTATTGTACTCTATGGGTCAGAATTTCTTATTCAAATTATGACTAAAATGAAAGAAACAGAAACGTTTGAGAGAAAATGAATTTTGTTATTTGATGAGTAAGAATTGACATTAATTAAATGTCTTTGGCAGTCTTTCATTGATATTAAACTTGTTGTTTTTTCTAGTTTTACGCAAGACAACTTTGTTCACCATGAAAACTTGTTCTTGCAGGAACTGCAAGACTTCCAGGATTCCATGTCTGCGTTGGAAGTGGAGGGGAGAGATTACTTCCTGAGTGGTATAGTGAGAAAGATGAGTGCTACTTTAATCGCCTTCTATATCCATTTTTTATCTCATATAATGTATAAGAAATTATTTAGAACAAGAGAAAAGGTTGAAATTAAGAGCAACGTGTTTTGTTGTTGCTGGCAACACGAGGAGAATGGATGAGGTAACACCATCCCATGGATCTAAGGCAGACGTGACAAGAGAAAAGGTTGACACATATTAAAGGAAAAAAAATGCGGACATGTCCATCTTATCTGGCATAATTACTTTGTTTTGATAAATAAAATTAAAACTATCTTATTTTGATAATAAAGTTTCAAAACTATCCTGGGAAGGAAAAAACTCAAATTATCGGCTCAATCTATCCTTAACTGTTCTTGGAGCATGATTAGTGTCGTAAGCAACTGCCTTTTCCCCATAGCATGAGGTACAACTAAATGTACTTGTGAAGAGTACAGAACGACACAATCATACAAGATTTCTAGTAAATTTTCCTGTTCACCATAATTAACCCACAATGCCAATCCACATGGAGTTGTTTCAAGCAGAGAACTCTAAATGCAATTTTAAGAAGTGTCACAAGATAGAACACACCAGTTTAAACTTCAATATAGACGTGAAAAATGAAAATACAGAGGGAAATTAATTAATGGAACATGGGAATTGGAGTTTAAGAACTCTCTTTATCCTTCATATTCAGCGAAGCTTGAATGATGCCACCTCCCAAAGATAATATGTTGTCAGTTGATGAATTCGTACAGTCAATATGGTCGAGCCATATAGAAATGCCAAGGTTAAGATCAAACTGCAACATTAACTTGGCATACATCTAAACCTTTTACAACTGGAGACTTGTCACAAATTCAGCAACTCACAACATAACATGTGATAGGAGTGACATTGATCTCAGCCTGCCCAAATCAAAGCAAAACTAAAACTTAATATTATGCTGAAAGCAGACAATTCCGAACTGAATTGTCTGACAATAGTACATTCAGTTTAGTTTGACACCAATGGCTTCTCTTGCATCTTTTGCTCCAATTTCTCATCCAAACCAATCAACAACTTTGGCATAGTGGCAACATCATTGTCTACTTGATCACTTACTGTCCCAAATTCAAACACAAATCCTCTCTTGTTGTAATGTACAAGCCTAGGACTACGCAATACACCCATAGACCTCGACTTGCCTAATTTCACCGCAGGTTTTTTCACTGCCACCCATCCAGGTTTTCTCTTAAAATAATCAGACCCCATTTTTATCTCACCAAAAGAACCAATAGATTTCGACCTAATCACTCTATCCCCTACTAAACCAATTGTTTCATTTCCATACTCTACGCTCGAAACACTCGATACTTTACTATTTCTCCTACTTCCTACTCTAACCGTCTTGTTAACGTTGGCATTAACAACCTCTTCACTTGTATCGCCGACCAAATCCACCTCCTCCACGCGCCACACGCGCCTTCTAAAATGATTCCAAATAGGCGGCGCATGGATTCTTTTACTAACAATTTTCAAGCCTTCAACAACCTCCGCCATTCCTGGACGCTTTTCAGCCGTGGATCTCACGCACCTAGCAGCCAAAACAGCCAAATTCCGGATCACAGCCAGGTCGGGCATCGAAGCCACCCGGTTATCAAATATTGCCCCAAAATCACCTCTTTTAATTAACGGAACTGCCCAGTCAACAATAGAAGGAGGACTGTAATTTACATCAATAGCATTTCTGCCACTAATGATCTCTAACAACAAAATCCCAAAACTGAACACGTCACTCTTGGCGCTTAAATCACCTGGCACAAGATAGCCTGGATCAAGATACCCTAAAGTACCCGCCGGTGGCGTGCACTTTACGCGAACATCCTCCACGTGTCCTCTTAAGGCAAGACCAAAATCGCCTAACCTCGCTTTCCAGTTTTCATCGATAAGCACATTTGATGATTTTATGTCTCTGTGAATCACCGGCGGGTTGGAGGAGTGAAGAGCTTGAACCGCTTTTGCTGTTTGTAATGCGAACCGAACCCTCCTGGTCCAGCCGGGAGGTCTAGAACTGGAGTGTAAAAGATCGTATAATGAACCGTTTGGCATGTACTCGACGACAAGTAGTTTACTGTCTGTAGAATCAACACAGAAACCAAGGAGGTTTACCAATCTTGGATGCTGAACTCTGGATAGAATTTCAATCTCGTTGTCTGCCGGAGGAACCGTCGCGCAGTTAGTGTTATAGCTGTTGCAGAAATTTATTTGATGGGTTGTCTTTTTGACGGCGGCTATTAACTTGCCTTGGCTGAGAGAGGCTTTATAAACGATTCCATGGCTGCCTTTGCCAAGGAAGGTTTCTGCGGAGAAAGCATCGGTGGCTTTGACAAGTTCAGTGTAACTGAACTCTCTGATTTTGATTGGTTTGGTTTTGGTTTTTATTCTGTTTTCGTTTTTTCTTCGCTTGCGATATGAATCCCAGTTGTACGGATCGCAAGTTGCAATCGCAGACTCTGCATTGCAAGAGAAATAGCCCATAATATTATGACAATATGTGTGATTGCTTCAATCAAGTTGTTTGCGGTGTATGATTGGGTTGCTATTGATCAAGTGAGAGAGTAAGAGAGAAGAGTAATTGGTTTAAAGGAGGGTGGTTGTTTTTGGTAGAGGAGGAGGAGGTGGAGGTGGGAAACGAGAGAGGCAAAAGCCATTATAGTAATATACTAGCAGTAATAGAGAAAGGGAAGGTGTGGGTTTTCTTGTCTAAAAGAGACTAAAGGCGTTTACTGTTTTACAGCTTTGAAACAAGAAACAGATATGAAAACAATCAATTAATCAAAGCTTCAAAATTTTGAATGTTTTGGTATGGTATTGTCGTATATTTTAATGGTTTATACATGCAAACGCGTGCTACTTTGAGAGGAATTTCTCGGGGTTGGCTTAAAGATGTGGGGTAGTGTCACTGCTGCCAACCGCCCCATTTGCTTTTACTTTTCCACCCAGCTACTCCTACTTTAATTTTTATTCTACTTCATGTGATTTTTTTTTCTTTAGATAGAAAAAGCAGAAAGGAACTCATGTTTTGACTTTGGATTGAATCCTCACCTTTTTTTAGTTTGAATTAATTGGTTTCTTGGTTGAAAATGAAGGTGTGCTAAACTAATTTACATTAGCAGGACTCAAATATAATTAGCGCGCCCGTAGCTAGATCGTGAAATAATGGTCATTTGTCAATAATATGAAATCTTTAGACAACATAATCAATTGGAAAGTATTTTTTCAGGTACATTTCTTTTCTTATCTATATGAACGAACGTTATATATCCTATGATTATCTCATGATCATACGCTATGATCTTGTCAACACAAGGAAGTATAAACTTTAAGGTTGGGTTTGATTGATGTGTCAAATTATAGAGGCATGATGGGCTAAAAATCTAGCTCCTCGCAATTTTCTTTGATAATTATATTTCACTGTGCATGATTGGTGAGATAAAGACGTCCATCTTTTTTTCTTAAGGTATCATTGCCATTAACATTTTAGGAGCCTTTGTTGTCATACATTAATCTTTTGATTATATTCAGAGCAGGAGAAGGAAGTATAAGGCAACATGGAGAGGTCCGTTAATCACGGCGTATCCTCATGTTTTCTTTTTACAAAAAGAAAAAAACTAATATCTTATTCGATTAAGGATTCATGCCCATGAGCATTAATGGCTTGCATCCACATCAGAAAATAATTATTTTAGTATTTCATGACGGGACTTGTTGTCGTACGTCCATTCAAGTTTGAACATGCAACTCCAAAGCTAGTAATTGATTTTTTCCATAAATTTTTTTAAAAAAGTTGACGCATTATGCGTACTTGATCAATAATTTATAAATTAATCCTTTTCCTTTCAAGAAATAAATAAACTAATTTTTATCTATTTAAAAATTATTCATTTAACTTTATATATTTTAATTTTATTAATTTTTTATTAAAACAATAATGAAATATCCTTACTATATTTTTTTATTTTCAAATTATTTTTTTATGTCTTTTTTTTTCCCCACTTTCTTTCTCTCTCCTCGACGATCTCCATCGTAATAATAAAGCTAAACCCACCATCAAGCTTTTATAGAAACTCTCTTTCACACGTCACTTTTCCTCTTGAAAAAAACAATCTACCCCCTCAAGCTTTCGGAATGAACACAACGCCAAAAAAAGGGACGCTAAATGGCTCAAGAATTACGCAGCAAACTCTGCCCTCCCAAATCAACAAAGGTCCTTTGTTTTGTTATTCACAGGTTATAACCCAAGAGACACATCATACTGAACCAGGCTAAGATTATGGCAGAAAATGTAGAGCTCATATATCAAGAACAATTTGTGAGCTGATCAAACGCATCCATGCCCCAACCCAAAAAGAAACGGAAATGCACGGAAGCTTCACTTATTACCTCATACTCAATCACACGCATCCATTTAGATGACGACCACTTATTAGTTTGAATCACAGGACAACCACCTTCATGTAAGAATCATAAACTCTTCATATAGATTGTATCACTAAAACCTGCAAAGTGAAATTAATTACGACCATTCAGATGTATTGAAATGATGAGGTACCATCAGCATGGTTATATTAAAACCTGAATAGCAAATCTTAAGGGAGAGAAATCAGTGCATCTCTTTTTCCTCGCCAGTTAAGTTCTTGGTATGTAATTTTAATGGGTTTTTTAGGTAATTTGATGGATCCATTAAAAAATTAATGAAGAGGGACAAAATGATTATTTTTTAAAATAAAAAAATTAATTAATTCGTTTCTCAATACGAAAGCGACTGATTTATAATTTATTTCGTACTCATGAGTGTATAATTTAAGGGTATAATTTGATGATATCATGTAATATAAATACCTGTGTTGATCCAATAATTTGAATTTTATATTGATTAATTTAAAGGAAAATATTGATCATTATTACCCGTGATATTTGCAATGCATCTCTTGGAGAAATTTTATATATAAAAAAATCAAATCTATAGTGATTACTATATTGAAAGTGACTGTTAATTATAAAAATGAAGTGTTTTTTAATTTGGGTATACCATTTCAGTTACTAAATAATATAAAAAATCTCGATCGGATCAAAAGACTGGTTTTAATTTTTAACGCAACAATTACGCAAATAATTTTGAGTTACTTTGCATGCATAAAACATCCAGCAAGCGTTGCAGCTGTTATATGCATTTAGTTTTGAAAAAAAAAACGTTCCATGTCGTTGGAATTTTATTTGGTGGTTGTTATATTATATACTCAACGGCAAAAATTCTTTAAAGGCATGTATTGTGATATGCTTATATATAGCATTGTTTTCTTGACAAAGAAAAAAAGCAACATATATATATATAGATTAAACTTTTCATTTTTCTTCTTTAAAGTGGTACTATATTTCTTTGAATTTCAAGTATATAAATAATACAAATTTATAAGATGCGGAACGATGGCTCAACTTATTATATCCTTAAAACGGCATGTAAAATCTATTTTATTTATTGTATCAAAAATTTATGTAGACGTCGAGACAATTGCTTAAAAAATTAAAAAAAAATATTTTGGTACTTTTTGTTTTTGATCTCATGTAATATCCTTCTATTTTCTTATAATTTGAGAAGATAAAAAACCAATGGACAACCCTAATGTTATTATTAATTAAAACTCTACTAGAGAAAATCATCTTAACAAACCATTTCGTTTTGGTGATGCAGCAAACTTCAAGCGATGGAGACAGGAAAAAAAAAAATCATTGTTTCCATTCAATTTTGCAAGAGCATAGATGATATTTCACCTCAGATACAAGAAAGTGAGGAAAGCTGATTGGTAGACTTACTTGTAGTATGTGATCACGATAAAAAGAAGACGAAGCCATGAACGTCCCAACATGTGGGGAGCAAATAAACAATCCTCAGATCCTTTGCCTTATGTGAACGCGAATGTGAATGCAAAGAAGAGAAGCACTAGGCAGCATCCTATTGGACTAAACGGCACTCCAAAACGTGTGGTAGGATCTGATTGCTACCTTGGTAACTCGGAAAGTGGAGCCTTTTTGAGTTTTGACTAACTAATTCATTAAGATAACGACAAGATCTGTCCAACAACGACAGTAAGTTGGACTTTTTGTAGTATCCTTCCTCTTCCAAATATCCGGTGTGATACAGCGAATGCTATGAGAAAGAAGGTGCATTAATTTCTTGCCTTTGGACATTTGAAAAAATAAAGAAGTTTTGGTTGATTTTCATTGCAAGGGTCCATGACTCAGGTATGGAGCAGCCCGGCGGATTGTTTCAACTTTCAACAATTCAACCTGACATGTTTCTGCCGGATGTTGTCACCTAATTGTGTCCAATTTGCTACTGCCATAAGGTTGGAACTACTAAAAGATTGTGCGAATCGTTGCTTATAATGGTTTTTTACTTTAAATTTTGAATAGGATCTTTATGGGAGTGTTAAATTGGCCATCACAACAGGCACCGAATTGATCACCATTTAAAGTTGGAAAACTACGTTTTATCCAAAAAAAAAAAAAAAAGTTGAAAAACTACTCCTACTCCTACCTTTCCTACTCTTGCAAAATGATGTTTTTTAAGTTCAAACTCTTCGAAGTGATGATTTGTTGCCGTGACTTTCTTAAAAACACAAAGAGTTTGATACCAACACATTTTTAAAGAATTAGATAATGTATTTTTTTTGTCCTTCTAAGGAAAAAAAAACCATAAATTTCATAGTTTCTAATAAAAGAGTATGGATATTAATTTCATTAGTATGGATTAGATAATATAGATACAGAGAAAAATGTTTTTTAAAGAAAATTTTTAAACGAATTTTATATAAGTAGGGATCAAATTGAAAAGGTTAACGAAATCGATGAAATTGAATTTCATTTATATTTTAGTTGGTGAGCGACAGATCTGTTCATCACTGGGGAGGCTCCGAACCCCCTGGTTGGCTGGTTCCTTCATTTTATGAAGATTATTTCACGCACCCATTCTATTTTAATATAATATTTTTATAACATTTACTTTAAGGCACACGTTATTAAATCATTAATTGATTGAGGGAATGGACATGGGAGATATGATAAAGATACTAACCATACAATTGATTATACATGACAAACGACGAAGGATTTAACTTAATTGATCATATTGCCCTTAATTATTCATACTGTTACGGGCTGTTAACTAGTTTGATGATTGATGTATCCTCCGATCTCATTCCCCTCCAAAAAAAAAAAAACAAAAAAAATGCGACACTGCACTCTGTGAATACCAAATCTACACTTGAAAACTCCAATATTAGTTACTGTTTCGCTTGTCGGTTTAATGAAAAAATGATTTAAAATCGAAGTTTTTGTTCACGACTAAGTCGAAGGATTACATTAAGGTAAGGATAACAAGTAAAGTAATGTGATCCAATATACAAAATACAACATCATATGGATAGCATCCGGGTTGTTCTGTCCTCTTTGGTTACTGATCCTCTAGCCTAGAACTAAAGACCCTTTTTTTTTTTTTTTTTTTGGAAAACAAACAAGTTTTGATGACTTTTGAGCTAAAGAAAAAAGTATGTATTAATAATCCTCTTTTTGCAAGAGATATGCATTATTAATCCGTAATCATTACTTAATGTCCATCTATAATTAAAGTAGAATTGTTTTCAATGTAAAATCAAAATCAAATTAAGTTTCTATAGCAAATTGATGGAGAGTTGGTATTCTATATTACTGCTAATTAACATCATGGCTTACAAGAATGGTAAATGAAATCTCACTATTGTTTTTATTCTTTAGAACTATGTAAAAAAAATCACTAAATCTGATTGTATTATTCAGATTGCTTATATATATATATATATATATATATATATATATATATATATATTATGTTATTGTGGGAAGTTTTAAAAAACAAGTCATTTGTTAATTTCATAACTTCATAATTTCAATCGGTTTTTTAAACAATGTTACTCTAACGTCATGAATGTTATACTTTGCGTATTTTGTTTTATAAAAAGTTATATCATATAATATCAATAACCAAGGCAATTTAGATGTGAATATGGTACAATACCCTTTCTATTTGAAAGTTTTCATGCTCTATGTTCAAAAGATTTATATATAAAAAATTTAAAATTTAAATAAAAATGTTATATTATTGTCAAATATGTTTAGATATAATCTGACATTGCTATTTATACAATAATTTTATTTATTTATTATTATTTTAGATAAATTATCTATTCGCAACGTAACTTGAATAAAAAATTAATTATTTTTAAAACATTATAAATTTTCTTTATACGATTAAATATATTTATTTTATAATTTATTGAAGAAGATAATTATATGCGAGTCACAATTAAAAAATAATGATTAGATGAATAAATACTAAAATTTACGCACTTCCAAAGGTTACTTACAACGCAGTTGACAAAAACCGGTTGTTCGTTGCAGGGTTGTATTCTTCCAGATGATACTTGGAGACATGCACGTCTAGTCCAAATTCAATCAGATGGGATTGACGGATTCTACCTAACCAGCTTCTCTCAATCCAAGTTATGTCTGTTTGGTTCTAATCGCCGTTAGAATGGGGTCCAAATGGTTCGCTAATTCTGGACATCTCGGTCACCTGTCCGAAAAAAGTCAGCACTGCTTTTTTTGCAAGGATATCTCTCCCCTTCTCCCTCATTTTGTAAGCCCGAACAAAAAGTCATATGGCTCATGTGACTAACTAATCATAGTATAGAGATTTATTTCATTGACAATAAATTGGGAACTCTAAGAGATAGGAGAATGGTTGGTTGATCAAGAAAGTTTATGTTTTTTTAGCAAATTCAAACTTCAAAATTAATATTAAAGAAAATTTTATTTTCATAAATTTATCAACTCTTCAAATATATGATTTGATTATCAAAAATGAAAAAAATTCGAAATAGAAATACATGAATCATAACGAAAATTAATAAATCAGATTGACGAGTTGCATTTGAAATACTAATAAAGAATTAGAATAAAATTTAAAATTTTTAATATATGGTTTTTGTGACGAACAAGAACTATGAATAAAAAAGAAAAATCAATTATGATTATAGTAAAAATAATAAAGGTGATTATAGTGGTAATCGAGGAGGAGATGATGTTAGTAATAATATATTTTAAAAAAATTAATACCACCACCATAAGTGATGGCATTGGGAGAAGAATAATGGTGGTAGTACAATAAAAACAATGATGATAGTAGAGAAAGAGTAACGATAGAATGATAATAATAATAATAATTTTTTTTCACTATTGTCGACGGTGGCAACAATAATTGCATAAGAAAAATAATGATAATTATAGAATAATAGCAATAACAATTTTTTATGAATTTTTTTTTATCACCACCATCAATAGTGGTTATGGTGGTGGTGGGGCAAAATATAATTGATACACAATAAATAAATAAAAATCACATATTACTATTTTGAAGAAAAAATTTTTACTCCTATTCTTTATTTTTATTTTTGCCTCTTCAACAAAAATGAAATTATGTTTAATTTTTATGATCATTTTATTCTTAATTCGTATTCTTATTTCATTACTTTCAAACAAACAAGTATAAAATATAAATAAAAATTTTGTTTATATTATTATTATTTTATTTCTTATTGTCAAACAACATTGATATATCGTTTGATTATCATACATGAAAATTTAAAACAAGAGTGCAAGAATTGAAATTGAATGAAAAAATTAGAATGACATTGCATTCTCATGTTCGTATGGAATAGTGATAAAAAAAATCAGAATGAAATTTAAGTTTTTTAAAATATTATTTTTTATAAAAATAAAAATAGTGGTTAAAAAATAATTTCATCAACTATTATGGTAGTAAAAAATTATAAAAGTGATTGTAGCAATGGTAGTTGATGGTGGAGTAAAAAGAGGATGGGAGGAGGAGGTGGTTCTGTTATAATTAAAGTAATGGCAGTGGTCGAAGAAAAATTGTGGTGGAATAATAATAATTTTTTTTCGATTTTTTTCACCACCATCAATGGAGGTGGTGGCAGTGATATACACAGTAAATAAAAATAAAAACAATGTATTGTTAAAGCAATAAATTTGGATCCACTGCACCAATCATGAAATTTTGGTTCACATGATCCGGTTCTGTGTAAATATCAATCAGATCGAGGCCTGATATGGCAAAGCCTTGGATTATTTGAGACTTATCTAACCATATGGGCTGGGCTGTATTTGCATTTTTTATACTGCCCGTAGGCGTTCAGTGTGAAATTTTGGAGACTGAAATGACTTAACAAAGGCTAGCTAACCAAGTTCTCATGAAGGGCCATCAGTTCTCTCTCTTTACCCCGAGGGTTCGAAGTCTGTTTTGCCCCAGAAATCTAAAGACTTTTACATCGATCTCGTGCATGTATTAGGCCTCTGCATTCTGAATCCACCAAACAGTTACCATCTTATTATATATGTACCTGCATACTAAACCCATTAGTGTGCATTGGTGATGATCCTACCGGTTGCAGCATACTGTTTATATGTACTAAATGGGATATGAAGATGGGATCATCACCATAATAACAACTCGCTACGATGACCAGTTATGACATTGAGCATATCGTTCACAACTCAATAGACGTAAAATTGAAGCATTTGCCATCTTTTTTTCCAAAAAAAAAAAAAAGACAGTAATTTTTTTCAGGTGTTCAACTAATAAAGCAATCTCGAGTCAGTCCATATCATCGGGGTTAAGTTTACCTCCTTGGTTCAGTTAAAAATGAGCTATCCCTAAATTTTAGTTAACACCTACTAAATTTTAGTTCAAAAAGCATGCTTTATTATGATATTACAAAAAACACCAAAAGGCGCAAGGTTTTTGAACAGTAATCACTGTTCATAAGCCTGAAATCCCTATCCACACATTATTTATTAGTGGCAATTTGAGTAATTTTTTCTAGTGCTTCTTTCGTGATTTTTTGAGTGTTTTTGGACATTTATACCTGAGCTTAACACTTTTTTCTTTTTTTTTATGCCTCATGTTTTTCCAAACATTTTTATCCTTCATATTTTCAAAATATATTTTTTGTCCTTAAATTGAGAGATTAGATTTAACCAAAAAAAGAGATGAGAGGAGAGAAAAGCTTCGATTATGCAAAATTTCGATCGTTTTTTGTCGATCTTGCATTCATATTATTTATCTTCGTGATAAGAATGTATTCATATTCTTTTTAAGTCATAAAATGATTATTTTAGGTAGATGAGACCCAACAAAAATTTAACTTTTGATTTGATTTGTAATTTTTTTTTGTTTTAAATGTGCATTGAAATAATTTTTGAGATTCAAAACCAATTTATTGACCTCATTGCAATAATTTTAAGGTATTATTAGATAAAAATGATGCCGAAAATGGATTTTAGAGCCCTAAAAATGGAACCCCAATTTCGACAAGGATTTTAAAGAATTCTAATTCGTCAGAAGTTGAGGGTTTTTTTAAAAGCTACCTAGCCATGCCTCTACGGGCCGCAACACACAAGCATACGCTTTGGGCCTGCTTTTGTAGCCTAAGGGCGCAGCCTTGCGCCCTAAGCTTGCTTCTGTAGGCCCGTATACTGGATTTTTTTTTTTTTTTTTTTTTTTTTTTTTTGCAATTTAGGTTTTACTATTATTGTTGTTGTTGAGTTGAGAGCAAGAATTATGAAAAAAAATCATTATTTTTAAAAAAATTTACACATATTAACAATTATGAATTATGTAATTGTTTTTATTGCACTCCATTAACATCAATATATTTCTTATAAATTATTTTTAAAAAAAAAATTGTTGATTTATACTGCACAATACGACCCCACCTAGCATGGTCATGATATATAAAAAAATTGAGATTATTAATTTTATTGAAAATTATCTATGCATGTACACACATAATGCAAATAATTTGTGTTTAATTTTTTTATATTCTTAAATTAATTTATTTTAAATAAAATAATTAAAATAATATTTCAAAAGAGCCACCTAATAATTTGGATGTATCTTTTTATACTAATATTATTCATTATTGTATAAATAAATATATACAAATCAAATATATATTTTTTCAAAAAGTTAAAAAAGATTGGTTTGTTAATTTTCATATAAGTTTTTATATTGATATTTTGATTTGATTTGTAATTTTCTTTTTGTTTATATATGCATTGAAATAATTTTTAAGGTTCAAAACGAGTTTATTGACCCTATTTTAGTAATTTTGAGATATTATCAGGCAAAAATGCCGAAAATGGATTTTAGAGCCCAAAAATTGACGAGGATTTCAAAGAATTCTAATTCGTCGGAAGTTGTGGGTTTTTTTAAGAGCTACATAGCCCTGCTTCTGCAGGCTACACACAATCATATGCCTTGTGCCTGCTTTTACAGCCCAGGGGCACAGGCTTGTGCCCTAGGCCTGCTTTTGTAGGCCAGTATATGGGATTTGGCCTTTTTTTTTTTTTTTTTTGTTGCAATTTAGGTTTTAGTATTATCATTATTGTTGAATTGGGAGCCAGAATTATGAAAAAAATAATTATTAATATTTTTTTAGTTTTTACACCTACTAACAATTATAAAATATATACTACTAGATTTTTTACACGCGCTACATTGTGGATTTGATAAAATATATAAAATCATTTAGAAAAATTATTTTATTTCGATAGTCTGTTTTATAAGATAAATGTATAAGAATATATGAAATCAAAGGTGAAAAAAATATTTTAAATTTTTTAATGTAATTTGAAATTAAATGAATGGGAATTTAAAAAAAAACGACAAATTAAAGCGATACATTTTAAATAATAAAAATAATCAATAAAAAATGAGTCTCTAAAATATACTTTTAACTCTCTCTTTCTATTTCTCTCTCTCTCTCTCTCTCTCTCTCTCTCTCTCTCTCTCTCAATTTATAAATTATAACAATATATTTTTTAAAAAAACTCATTTAAAAAGCAAAAGAAGAATTTATTGTATGAATTATAATAATATATTTTTAAAAAATAAAAGACTCGATGTTTTAAATTTTTATTCCAAAATTCATGTATTAAAATACTAAATTTATTAACAAATATAATCATATCAAAAATAAACATGATGAGAATTTTAATAAGAAATAAATAATATAAAAAATAATTTTTAAAAAATAAAAGTAATATAATCGGATATATGTGTTCAAACTAAAATCTAAAAAAAATCGTATATATTCTATCATTTAAAAATTATAACGATTTATTTTTTATGTTTCTCACACCTAATTCCATATATATATATAAAGAAAAAAAAAGACACATAACACCTAATACACACACACACATATAATTTATTGTATAAATTATGATAATATATTTTAAAAAATAAAACACTAACGTTCTAAAATTTTAATTCAAAATTCATATATTAAAAAAATAAATTTATTAACAAATAAAATCATATAAAAATATTAATTTAATGTGAATTTTGATAAGAAATAAATAATTAAAAAATAAATTTAAACAATGAAATTAATATAATTAGATATATATACTCTCTCTGTCTTTCTCTATATATATGTGTGTGTGTGTGTGTGTGTGTGTGTGTGTGTGTGTGTGTGTTAAACAAATTAAAAACTCATTTAAAAAGGAAAAAAATTATTATATAAATTATAATGATATATTTAAAAAATAAAACACCGACGTTCTAAAATTTCATTTCAAAATTCATATATTAAAAAAAAACAAATTTATTAACAAATAAAATTATATCAAAAAATTATTTTGGTGTGAATTTTAATAAGAAATAAGAAATTAAAAAATTAAATTTAAACAATAAAAGTAACATATATAGATATTCTACCATCTTTAAAATATACGAAAAACTAAAAAAATAATGATTTATTTTTTATATTTTTTGTTTGGTAGACCTTTTTTCTTTCTTTTTTTTTCATTTTCTCTTTTATATATATATATATATATATATATATATATATAGAGAGAGAGAGAGAGAGAGAGAGAGAGAGAGAGAGAGAGAGAGACTGGTTGCAAGCCAACTAGGACAAGCGCCCAGTTGGCTTGTGCAACCAGATTGCATATATGCAGGAAAAAAAAAAATAAGGAAGGTCACACGTGGTTGGCCTGTGCAGGCAGAGTGACCTAGATAAGTTTAGTTGACGATATCTCTCTTCTTCTCAGTCTTTTCTTTTTACTCATAGACCAAAATGAATGAGCAAATGAATATATAAATCAAAATATGCTTTCGAAAATATTAAAAATTAAAATATAATAAAAAAACTATGAATACTGAAATATAGAATGAAATATTAGAGAATGAATAATGAAATATGAGTATATATACAATATTTTAAATAGTGAATCTACTGAACCAACATTTTATTTTAGTTAACGCGCTTTCGAATTTTTTACTAGCGACTGCAATCAGCTAGTAAAATTCTAAACAATAGTATTGGTCGTTGAACAAACCTTCGCACACGCTATCATGAAAAGCGGACGTATTTGTTAAAAAACTTAAAAACTTCAATGTTAATGTACGGCGGAGACAATATATACATATATAGTAACACCGTGAAGAATGGTTTTGGAAGTATCGAAGGAGACGCAGACGTCGTCAGTGTAAGCATTCCACATAGACTTTTACCAAGTCATTGCTTGTTACTCTTTACTTATCCTTCTGATTAATTTGCTATATATATATATATAGTAACACCGTGAAGAATGGTTTTGGAAGTATCGAAGGAGACGCAGACGTCGTGGCCAAAGTACAGTGTAAGCATTCCACATAGACTTTTACCAAGTCATTGCTTGTTACTCTTTACTTATCCTTCTGATTAATTTGCTAATACCTCTGCAAAGCATAGATCAGAGACTCCGGTTCGAATCCCTGTACTGAAGCTGAAAAACACGCAGTGCGTAGACTAGGGACTAGAGTCTTGAAGGCATTTCAAACGCATCTGTTTCGACTTCCAGCATAGCATGACCGAAGGCCGAAATATCCGATCATGTTACTAAATTGGATGACCGGATCTCTATGGTTATGAGTTTCTTTTTTCTTTCTTCAGTAACTGCTCAAATTACAATAGATTGCTACGGAAAAGGCATTTTAAAATCGACATCTTTGATTACTTTGCATAAAACGCCTGCTCGAGGTGTCATTAGCTATCACAGGAAACAAAATGAAATAGCACTACTTATTCTGGTTTTCAACTTGGGTTAGTAACAGGAGTATAAGACAGTTTTCTAAAGCCAAACTACATACTTAATTTTCAGCCACCTGTAAGTTAAAGTAGATTCTCAGTTAACTAAACTTTCAACTCTTTGCCGAGGAACCCTGGATCTATTGCATTGTTTCAAATCCTAAAAGTCCAAAACATTCCAGCCGCACTACAAATTGAGAGGCTATGCCTGTTTTGTTAGTGCAGCATATATATATATATATATATATATATATATTGAGAGAGAGAGAGGGGGGGGTATTGTGGGCTCACTGGCAGTCCAAAACTTTTGTCAACTCCACATATATATGTACGCGTGGCACCTACCGAGTAAGCACCAACGGGTTGAGGAAACTTCCCAGTGAACATCAACATGATTGAGATTGCAACTAATTATGTATATGCTTAAGCACCAGTATGATTATTAGGGGAGACTCTAATGATTTTATTTTATTTTTTGTTGCAAAGAAGAATCTCGAACTCGAGATTTTTTTATTTATTTTAAGAGACCTTAATGTGATATCATCACCATTCACCATGGAATTGAACCGTAATTTCCCTCTTTTCAGTTGTTGTTGTGCAGATGGACCATAGTATTAGTCACCGACTTTTAATGGCATGATTATGATTTTGTTGTTATGGGCATCTATGACCTTAACTTCATTCCCCATCTCATGATCTTAACCGGGTTCCAATATTCCATTCATTGAACTCAACCAGAACACTTTATGATTGATCTGTATTTGCATCTATGAACTGTTTTTTTTTTTTTTTAACCAACAATCTCCAAAAAAACAAAACAAAACAAAACCATAACCTTCTCTATATTGTGTACATCTAGAATTGCAGATAAGCATCATCCATCACATCCTTGCTTATTATTTTGAGAGAAATTAATAATTATGAATCATGGTCATCAACTTGAAACCTCGTCTAAGAGCTTATACCTTCTCACCTTATTTCTAAACACCTGTCTTGTGATCCCATTATTTGATATCTCCTCTGATCTTGTCCTTCTAAGCTTCTCCTCTAATTTTCCATTTGTGATTAGTCTCCTTCGGGTTGATGGTGATCTCTCTGGCGACCTTTGTTTCTTGATGGGGCTATTGATTTGCAACTGCAAAGTTCCTCTGTGGTTCCTTAATAGACCTCCTTGATTGTCACCGTCCTTTTTCTTGTTGTTCCTGCTGCTCTTGCTATCATCTTCGCTGTTGTTTTTATTTGACGACGAAGAATTTGAAGAATTCTGTGATTTTTCTTTTGTTTCATGGCTCAGACACCAATTGCAGACTTGGTAAGACTCTGCTTTTGGATAAAGGTTGCTACAGTATCTGTGGAAAATTAAGCGCAGATTTCAATTTGAGAATTCCCAGATTGATAAATTTTAATCTGACAAATAAAGAAAAGTTTAGAAAAGAATTCGAAGGTTTTTTATTCAAAGGGTACCTGTGTTGAGATCTGAATTGGCAGACGTTGCACTGGAAAAGCTCATAAGGAAGACCACAATCGCCACACATGCAACATTCAAGGCCTGATTGCGATGATGCAATACCTCCTTTTTCTGTTGTCATATTTGTTTCATCAGAGAGGAGAAGGGAAGAGATGATGGGTTAGGTAGACGGCCACAAAACAAAGACAAACTACCACAAACACCAAGCATGAGGGAGGGGAGGGTCTTTTATTGCGCACACGTTAGTATCTGGATATCATTTTAAGTTATCCCGTGTTTGAAAAGTAATATATCAATTTCATATTCTTGTCTTAAAAATATTTAATTATTGAGGTCGACGGTTGATAACATCATTCTTTTTCCAGTGGGTTATTATTGATGCCCTTTCCTTCCCCAAAATAAGAAAATAAACCGATTATAGAGAACCAAATTTCACGCTTTGAGGACCTAAGGGCAGAGATATGGGTCAACAGAAAGGGAGGTCAAAAAAGAAATAAAACAATTATAAGAAGACTTAATTTCCTACGTAAAGAAAACAGTTGTTTTTCTATCCAGTCATCAGAAAGGGAATAAATTTTATGGAGTAGCTAAACTGATATCAACGCCCTCCCTAGATGTTGTGATAACTGCAAAGCTTAAACCTCTCCCCTATGACTCAAATAAATAAATAAAAATCATAAGATATCTGCAAAGAATTAATTCGCGATCTAGGCTTGAATTGCAAAGTTACATTATTAATGAAAACCCCTAAATGTTGTGATGCAAAGAAGGGTCACTGACTCTTCTCATGAAGGGTACCATATTATCTTTTCTACATCAAGTCTTAATATATATTAACAAGAGAATAAGCTGTTAATGCATGTCAAATCTAGGGATGGCAATAAGCCGGATATAAAATGAGTATCTGTTTTACCCCACTTAATAAATACCTATTAAAAATATTCAATGGGTATTGAAGTAGATAAAAATAAAAAAATACATACCTATTAATATGATTTTAGGATATGAGTACCTACTCTTTACTCTATCAATACTCACTAATTTATTTACATTTTTTTATTAACATGTAGGGACTTAATTGCATAAAATTTAAAAATTAAGGATTAAAATATTTTTAAAAAACTTTGAGGACCAAAAAAATTTATAAATAAATGACTAAAATGCAAAAAAAATAATAAGAATCAAAAAAACTTTTTAAAAAACTATAGGGACTAAAATGAATATTTTTTATAAATTAAATTTAACGGGAATTAAATAGACTGGACAAACTAGTATGGGTTGAGTATAGGCTTGGTAAAGATTTATATAAGGATTTCTTGATGAGTAATGGGTAGGGTAAAAAATTGAATTAATGGGCTAAGTATCCACCCATTGCCATCCCTAGTCAAAGTCTGTATTGCTATGTTTCATGATAGATTCTTTAATTTTGATATCAAGTCATTTCTTCTCAATGTGTAAAGAATACCCTCATGAGACGCCACATACGCACTATGATACCGGACGTTACTTTCGCTATATAAACTAGTCGTAGAACTCTAAAAGGAGAATTGTGATACATGGAAAGGAAAAGAGGAAGAGACCCAATCGAATTGCGGAATGAGAAATAAAGTCACATAAACACAATTGAATTGAAAAGTGGAAGAGACCTAATTGAATTAGGACCTGGGGACTCTTAAATTATCTAAGATAGATTAATTAATGAATTAGGCTTAAGTATATCTAATTTATTTGGATTGGACCCGAGTCCTTATTATTAGCTGAGAGCCTAATTATAATGGGCTAGTCGCATTGGGCATGGAAATTATTATTAATTAGGGCATATTATTGTTAGTGTCTTGGTCTTTACTATTTGAGTAGGTTTATTATATTATTTTGGTATTGTTTGATTGTTATCCGTCCTTGTCCCTAATAGACAGTATAAAAATAGACAAGAGCAAAAGAATGGGTACATAAAAAATATAACAAACTTTGTCCTTTTCCTCCTCTCTCTCTCTCTCTTCTTTCTCGTCTCTTTTACCAACTAGTATTAGAGTAGCTTGTTATGCCCTGTTTGAAAGATAAATTTTTCGAAGGCTAGTTGAGAGTGCTAGATAAGTCCGGAAATCTTTAAAAACTATGGAGCAACGGAAAAGCGTCTAAGATGTCCAAAAGAAACCTAAACATGTCTTAAAGGATTCCAAATAGTCTATCATTATTTTAGCTTATATATATCCGAGATAGCTTATTATAAATATCTAGATAGGATAATTTTAAAGAATCAATTGTAGCTATTAGATCATATAGATCTTAGCCATCAATTGAGAAGGTGAAGTACTATAAATAGGCGAAGCCTTCATTTGGCCAAGACATTCGTAAATCTAAGAAAATGTAATACTAAAGTTGTAAGCTTTAGAGATAGCAATACAAATAGTTCTCATATCTCTTGTACGTGTCTTTCTTACTTGATAACCTTGTGTAGAAGAAGGTCGACTTGGTTTAGCTTAGAGAAGAAGTGAGCCAAGTGCCACATGAGAGCCCGAGAAAGGCTAAGTCCATGAAAAATGGTATCAAAGCCGAGTTATATCAATATAGATTAAGCTTGTGACTAGCTAAGTGTTCAAAAGAGTAAACATATCTAACCTTAGTGTTGAAGATGTTGCTAGAGACATGAGGAAGGAGACTCTACCTTCTTTGAAAGAAGGAGAAAGTCTCGTGATGTTTTAGTTGCCTTAGAGAAAAAACGCTTAAGGGTGGAGGAACACTTTACCGATTTCAAACAGAGACTCGAGGAGATAGAAGGAGATGATGAGGTGGAGACACTAGGCATGACAAACCTATGTGAGGTGCCCTTCGATCTCCAAGCTTGAGTGGAAACAGTTGAGAGGTGTGCCAAAAAGAGTATTATCAAAAGGATGCCTTCGTGAAATGGAATAAGAAAATGTTCAAGCAACATCAAGAGTCTATAATCAAATATGAGCAAACTCTTAAAAAACTTAGAAGAGATTGAAAAAATTATCGAGAAGAAATCCCTAATGGTGTGGTCTTGAAAGACACGTCAAAAGATGAAGTACTAAGACCAAGGCACTATGCTAACAAATGGGATGCCAAGAAAGTTGATAACTTTTTTTATAAGTGGAGTAATATTTTGAGATAGCGGGCTACTCTTTACTTTACAAAGGATGTTGTTTTATGGCGACATATGAAACACCAAGAGCTTAAAGAGAAAAATCAATAGTCACCTAGCTAGGATGAATTCAAAAAAATTATGTATACCTAATTCTACCTTGAGAAAGCATATTGGGAAGCATGAGATAAGATATAAATATTGAAGCATATAGAAACTATTCATGAGTATGTTCGAGAATATACTTCTCTTAAACTTTAGGTACATAACAAACCCGACTATGATCATATATTTGATTTTATTAAGGGACTTCAATCATGGGCACAATAAAATATACGAGGTTGATAACCTAAGACTTTCATTGAATTTGTGGCCATAGCTGAATTCTTAATTAAGTAAAAAGAAGATAGAACCCTCTAAGCTCAAGAAAGACTTCAAAGGTAAAGGTATGAAAGCCTATGAAAAGAATGGGTATAAAGATAAGCAAGACAAAGCACACAAATCTAAAGACTTTGTCAAAGAGCATGATAAGAGAGAATTCAAGTCCAAAAATTGCTACTTTTACAACAAAGCGCATCAATAGAAAGAGTGCTCGGAGCGAGAAAGCCCTCAATGCCTTGATGGAGGAGAAGAAATATGCTCTAGAGTATAAGAAACATATAGGATCATTATAGCTTCTCAATGCCTTGAATTTTCAAACCTTGCCAAATGTGCTACCAAATGATAGGCTTATGCATATGGATATGGACATGAATGATAAGGCGACACTTGCTATGTTAGACAACGGTGCCACATATAATTTCATGATTGAGAATGAGGCTAAAAGACTTGGTTTATCGGTGACCAAGTCATCAAGCAACATGAAGACGGTGAATGCTTCCCCCATGCCTACCCGTGGCATAGCACTTAGGATAAGCCTTGGCATAGGCACATGGAAGGGGATGCTAGATTTTCATGGTTGTGATAATGGATGACTTTAAGGTTGTGTTAGCATGAAGTTCTTCAAATAAGAAAAACTATGTCTACTTCTCATTTGGAGCAAATGGTGATTATGAAGGAAGAAATGTCATGCATAATGCTAGTCAAGCTGCACACTAAATCGGACTTAACGTATCTCTTGACCATGTAAGTGAAAAGCGGCTTTAGAAAAGGAGAAGTCATCTACTTGGCAACATTGAGAGAAGACGGGTCGGTGGATGATGAGGGTGCGGAGATACCCAAAGAGATTGCTAATGTGCTGGCCAAATTTGATGACGTGATGCTACTAGAATTGCCTAATAAGTCACCACCTAAAAGAGAGATCGATCACCAATTAAAGTTGGTGTCGGGTGCCAAATTTTTAGCTATAACACTTTATCGTATGACTTCTCCTAATTGGAGGAATTGAGGAAGCATATTGGACTAAGATGATCTAAAAGCCTACGAAATAATACATCCAAGCCTATAGTTGTCATGAAGAGCTCGAGTCCAGATTCTATTGTCTTCTAACCCTAAATTAATTTGGAAGTTTTAATATATAACCTAGAGTCCTATTTATGAATAAGTCCTGGTCAATTTTGAAAACAAGCTTAAATAGAACTTTATTGGCTATCATATTTATCTCTTAATATGTATAAATAGCCTCTAAAGGTGCACATTCATAGACCTTTAATTTTAGAAAGAATGTAATTTTTTTTTTAGCATTTTTTGTAAAAATGTAAGGCTAAACTTTCCTTTTTCAATTCAAGAGAAACACAATTTCGAAGAACAAGTTTGTGAGACCTTTTTTATTTAATTTCATAAGTTATTGATCTTAATCATCTCTTATTTATATGAATGAATTGAATTATATTCTTGTTTGTAATTGTTTAGAAGTGTTACTAAGTAATTGTGATAAATGAATAATTGCTAAATTAGAGTTTATAATACATGATCATTCTAAAGCCCATTCATGAGTAGCAATAGAGTTAAGTAATTTTTACTATTGATATCATTATAATTCTAGGAGAAAAGAGTATAAGTTAAACCAACCGACTTTTGTGTTGATTATCTATTTTAGTTATTCTTTAAATCGTTAATATTATTGTTAAATTACATGTAGAGATATTTTCCTATATGGTTTAGCAATTAGGATTCAAATTGCATGCTTCATGTGTTTGATGATTAAGTAAGACGAATAGAGTTAATCTATGATTCATGGTTAATATAGACCAAATAGTAAATTATGAATGGAGTCTTTAACTATTATTAATTATCGACTTGTAATTCAAAGGTAAAGTTTACTCTTAGATTGAATGTTTTTTACTTAATTAATTCATCAAAATTTTATTTTTATTTTTCTTAATTATTGTGAGCAGATTCAATTGAAACCTCTTTTTTTATTTAATTGTTTGAATTGAGCATAAATAGAATCAAAGTATCAATTAAATTAATATCTAGAGAGTGTAGAACTACATGGTACAAGTGACAATAAACATTAAATGGATTGTCAAATTAAAATGGAGGATCGTGTATTCTTAAAGTTGCAACCCTACGAACAACACTCGGTCATCGAGTGGCAATTTCATAAAATGTCCGCTAAGTATTATGGTCTTTTTTATGATAGAAGAAAGAGTAGAAGACGCTGCTTACCGATTGAAATTACCTTCCTCTACTTTGATTCATCTAATGTTTAATGTCTCTCTTCTTTAGAAATCGATCAAATCTCTTACTCGCGATTAAACATCTCCTCGATTTGCATCCAAATTCTCCACCCTAACCTCTAACAATGATTGATATGAGAATTGCTAAAAAGGGGAACAAAACAACTATCTAATGATCGATCCCCTAACACGATCTATCCCTAGCAGATGCCACTAGAGAATATGCAAGCAAAATCAACAAATGATTTTCATCATTCTCCTCGAGGACAAGGGTGGTTCGAAGGAGGCGTATTGATACATGGAAAGGGAAAGAAGCAAAACCCAATCAAATTGGAGAAGGAAAGAGACATAGGCACATAAAGCCAATTGAATTGGGAATTGGAAGAGACCTAATTGAATGAAAGGAATTGGGGGGTGCTCTTCAATTATCCGAGAGGGATTAATTAATGCATTGAGCTTAAGTGTATCTTGTTTATCTAGATTGGATCGGTCCTTATTATTAGCCTAGGAGTTATTATTAATTAGGAGATGTTATTGTTAGTGTCCGGATCTTTAGTACTTGAATAGAACTCGTTATGTTATTTTAGGTTGTGTTGGTTTGGAGAAAAATAAATTTCAAGAATTTGTTTTCCTCATTTCTCCTATTTTTTGATGCTTGTTTCGCATTTATGAAAAAATTCAACGAAGCTCGTTATGGTAACATTTCAAATTAATTTTTAACTATCTCCTATCAATTATTATCAATTATTTAATTATTTTTTCTCTATTTCTACTAACATTTGATTTTTTTTATTTATAAATACATTAAATATTCTTAAAAACCATTTTTACACGTTAAAATTGTTTTTATAATAAATATCTCAATAATTTATCTTTATCTTTTTTACTATTATCTCAAACACTATATAAACTATACTTAAATGAGTGAAAATAATTATTATAATACTGCGATAATTTGTGAAAAATTTAAAACTAGTTAATTCATTAATAAATATGTTATTTTTTCAAAACTATTCATGTATAGCTAAATCAATAATTTATGACTAATTTTAATCAATTGTAAAATTTTGTTGGTAATTGTAGTCAATAATTAGTTACAAATTATTCCAACATTATCTTTTGAAATCAAATGAATAATTATCTACAAATGATAACTAATAATTTGTAAAAAAAAATTTTAGACAATTATTAATTTAATTTCCCAAAAAAAAAAAAAGAATCCTTAAACGAGTTATCGAAATAACAATGCTAGAATTACTTAGACTTTTTTTTTACTAAATATGAATATTGACTTAATTTTGTCTCAAGTAGTTTTTTATGAATTGGTTTGATGGTTAAAAATGTATATTTTATTTTTTAATTTTTTGAATTTAAATCTTAGAGTAAGTATTTATAAAAATTTTTAAAATTTTTTAAATACATCTTATATTGTGAAATTGTGAATATATCTTGTTGAAGTTTTCTCAAAACTCGTTGATATAACAATCACAACTATTTTTGTATTTCAGTTTTTTATATCAAATAAATACTTGAAATATATTTTTTTATAGTTTTTCATGTAATTGTCAAATATCAAAAAATATTTTTTTGAAAAATAACTTTTTCAAAATTGATTTTTTCATTAAAAATTATTTTCTATCAAATAAACGAAGCCTCAGGATTAATTGTTATGCACAAACAATAGACAAGCAAAAGAATGGGTACAACAAAAATATAACAAACTTTGTGCTCTCTCTCTCTCTCTCTCTCCAAATTTCGTGCTTCCAGTGCCTTGGATTCTAACGCGGGCCTACAAGAAAATTACCGAACCACATGGAACAAAGCATCATAAATCATAACCAAAAAAATCACCCGTTTCATCTAGTCCTCAAGATATGAAACCGGTTAACAATTTTCGTACCAACCCTCCCTGGTCCCTCCAATATAACGTCCCCTTTTAGGTTTGAGGCAAGGCCACGTGTGCAGTACGTGCTTCGGAATTTTTCTGTTTCCAAATAAGATGGAAAAGGTGAGATCTAGAATTTTCTACTTCCCATTTATTCTCCTCTCTTCTTTACAACACGCAACATAACATTAACATTCCAGCTTTGAATTCCAGAAAACAAAAGTATTGTATTTGAATTGGTTAAAATAGTATTCTATTTGAGTTGTTTAAATAGTATTGTATGTAAAGAAACATCAAGGCATGGAGACCAGAAATTAGTCGTCTAGCTGTCCTGTAATGAATAATGATATCCCTAGCTGTCCTGTAATGAATAGTGATATCCCCGACTGAGAATAGAATTCTTTTTCTTCTTTTGCCGTACACGATAGAGTTTTAGCCGACCATGCTACTCGGCTCCAGAGTCCAAACAAAGATTTTTTTTTTAAAAAAAAATAATGACTTTTCAGAAGACCATGAGCTGTGCTTGGCTCTGACGGTCAGATGTCTTCTTAGTTTAACTAATCCACTTATCTAGCAGATTCCGAGTCACTCCATCACAGTTAGTATTGAAAATAATCAAGCGTCCTTATTCACGTAAATAACAGGTTTGATCGGACCAAAACTAAACGAGCTAGAACAAGGAGCATCATTTCAATGCCTGAAAATTCGAAACTCAGGACAAACGATGATTAAAGCAAAGACCACTCTCACACATGAAAACACTGCTGGCACGTCTAGGCACATGACTAAAATTGAACGTGTTTCACATGTGAACCAAAAAGCGAAAAAATTGGATGTTTCACGCATAGAACAGAAGCAAAAAAAGCATAGCGAATGAAAATTATGATTTCATTCAGTCTCATCACCTCTGATGTGATGGTACACCCCTTTTCGGAGGAAAGGAATCGCATCATATTAAGTCAATAGTTGTCCAACAACACAGAGCCCTTCACAGGTATACTATCAATAAGCCCGAGGATTTAACCAGAGTTAACTGATCACCTAAGGCACACAACGAAAAGGAAACTCTGAAATCGCCAAAAAAAAAAAAATAGTGAATATAAATTCAGTGATTCAAACCTATTAAAAGTTGAATTGTCTGCATTTACACTATGGAAAAAATCATCATCTATACTATACAGGAATGTTTTTAATAAATACAGCAATAAACAGAATCCTCCAAAAATTTACAGAGGAGAAAGTAGTTACCTTCGGCACAAGTATAGCTCTAGATATAATTAAACACTGCAACGCTTTATTAAGATGTAGGGACCCGCAAAAGGCTTTACATGGCCAACTAAATTCCTACCACAAATTATGTTGCAGCCACCTTTATCTTCTTGCTCAACGAAAAACCAATGCTCCATTGTGCTTCAGCATGTAATCTGAAATGATATGATAAGAAAAATCAGTTAGTTCAGAGATATAATTTCCTTTGGTGATAGTTTTGGGTTCATGCGATAGGCGTCAACTCTCTCAGGTCCAGAACAAGGTATCCAATCTTCTGCTGAAACTGAAGACCTTGTAACCCAAAAAATCGTCGCATTATCCAAACTACAAAGATGACTTTTTATGCCCTTCATGATGTCCCAAAGACATTACTTTCATTGACATTGATTCGTTATGCTTTTCATAATCCAAAATAAATCATAGCTTGATGTTAATATTTTGCTGGGATTAACTTTTTAAACAACAATTTAACATGCAAAACAACTCATCTTCTTCCTTCCCCCCCCCCCCCCCCAAAAAAAAGGGCACCCAATTCAAAAGGATTCAAGGAAAGTGTGAAGAAAGCAATCGTGGAAATGGATTAAATCATTGGGATGTGGCTTTCTTTTCAGCAAAAAATAACAGGATGCAGTGCTTGACCGATAATGCCTGTATAAGAATCTCTCTCTTTAAGAAAGTAAGAAATCTAGTTTACCAGCTAAAAAGGGTTTCGATGGGATTGAGCAACAGGCCATAAAATCATCAAGGTGTTTCAGCCACTGAAGCTATAATAATAATAATAATAACAAAGACACTGATCTAAACTGCAAATCAAAATATGATTATCGTCCCCGTGAAAATTGAAGTTATAACCTCATATGCAGCACACAGATACTTAACTGGGCTTAAGTGTGGACAGGCCCCGATTAGCTCTGAGCACACTCAAAAGGGTGCAAAGTTCCTTCAGTGAATTCATGCATCCGAAACCGCTCTAGGAGTTCGAAGGGGCTGCAACTAACATTATGAATCCTTGTAAACATAATGAGTAACTTGGATAAACGAAATTCACATTAAAAAAACAATCATTAAATACATGACTTAGGGTATGTGCTTGGGTGCAATGGGAATAAAGGAGGTGCTAGATAAGCATTTATCCCAATGACTATTTCTTCTAGCTGGAGGAGATACAAGCACGAAAAGAAAACTGGACAATAAGTAGAAGGTTTAGTTGAAGAATTGGCCCAACAAAAGAACGGGAAGAACAGATATGTGGCAACCCTATATACTCAAGACGACTTTATTGAACTGAGCTGTAATGTGTGCAAGGGCAGAATCCAAAAATTCACCAGACAAAAACCAAAGTGAAGAAGAGCATATATCCCAGATCTGAGACTATAACTGAACTTCCAGAGAACTCAAATTCTTATATCCAGTTTGGGTTGTCACATTGAAACGGCTTGTTGATTTCACACACAGTGGACTTGTATACAGTGAGCGAGGGTAGCAAACCATATAATTCACAGAATAATACATAAATTCTTAGGACAACTAAGGACTTGCAGTCTTACAGGATAGCTTCACGATTCTGGCATAACCTTCGCTGGTTGCTTTCCATGGCTTCCAGCACATTAGAAATTTCAGGTCCTGCTGATGGTACTGAAACACTTGGAGTCCAAATCTAGAACCATGTCACAAGATCAGAAAACCAAGCCACAATAGTTGCACACAAATCAAATCCATCAAAATACCAACCTTTATGGTGTTATCAATCCCACTGGTTGCCACAACACAATCAAATGGATGACACTGGACGCAGTTCACAACTGTGAAGCAGATGAAGATTAAATCAAAGATATTGAAGAAGATACTACCGAATCTAAGCAAAAGTCATGCTGAGTCACATGGAGAAAGAATGCTACCAGCCTCATCTCCAAGAAGCATTTTTATCAATCTACCAGTTTGCTTTTCCCATATAAAGCATCTACCATCATCACTTCCACTGGCCACGTAATCACCTGCAAATCAATAATCAGAAACTAACAAAAATTAACCACATGGTAAGCTGCTTGTGAACTTAATCTTGTTTGCAACATTTGAAAAAATCGAGAAAACTGCATGGAGCATTAAAAATAATTAAGGCACACCAAAGAATCCATGATGCATACAGTGTCCAGAATCCAATGCACTGGTGCTGATATGTTGATAGAAAACATTCAATCAGACTGTACAGCCTTGTTCAATTTGCCTGATCAGGTTTAAATGGTTGCTTGAAGTATACTCTTTCCCTCTAAAGTGTTTGCCTTTCTAATTTCCTTCAACTAGTTGTTTGGTTAAGATAGTCTCCCTCTTCATTACATGTTTATCTTCCTTTCTAGTCTCATTTGCCCCCTAATGAACGTCCACTTTGAAGAATCAATGAAAAAAAATTTATCATTCCAAATTCATGTATACCATTTGTAGGATTATTTCCTTCTCACATGTCAAAGGCAAGCATAATGAGGTCCTATGGGCAATGGCCAATACTTTCCAAGAAGCCATTTTTTCAGGTAGCTGATTGACTACATCTGAAAAACCAAGCATATTACCTGGACCCAAGCTACAGACATCAGTCAATTAGCATCATAAAAATCACAATTACTTCATCCCACAAAAACCTTAAGACCTAACTGGTCCTAGTTTTCAAGCAAATAACCAAGCCCAACAGAGGAAGACATTCAGTCAATTTAATAGGGTTAAGAAAACTACTAGAGATAATTCATTCCAGCTATACCTTAAGAATAAGACCTCAGCTATCATTAGGCTTTTGCAAAGCAAGAGCCAATGATACATATTCAAAAAGACCACCAAAGCATGTCAAGACTCAGCAACATAACAGTCAGGATCTGGAATCTTTTAATGCATCATTTTCATATGGTCAAATAGAACCTCATTGGCAAGGCAACAATGATACAGTACATCTATGGAAGCTATCAAATATCAATAAAACAATATGCATCACATGAATACCATCCAAAGCTTAAAGTGACCCAAACTGATTTACTTCCTAGGTGCTAAGAAAGTATAGGAGATCTAGAAGAAACCAACCTCTTTGCCCAAGAAAACTAGCCTGTTTTATATCAGTCCCAACGTTACAGTGACCAACATATCTCTGCGTCATATCAATGACTGCCTCTGGCTGCAATATAACCTTAGAATGAATCAACTAGCAAAGAGCAAGACAGTAAATAATTACTGAATCTGCGTGAAAAGAGAATAATGTACATCTCTGCATTTGCACGTGTGCACCAGAGAGAGAGAGAGAGAGAGAGAGAGAGAGAGTTGAACAAGACAAATAGATCATATCTTATAACATAAACTAAAATGCTTGTTTAAACTATATCCAAATTTAGTATTTTCCCCTTCAGATCCCATCCTTAGGGCCATACAACCAACCTTGACAGAGTAAACTTTCAAATGGCAGTGATTTTTCCTAAAGAGTCACATGTACGAGAGGAAGCCCAAAACTTTGAAAATAACTAGTATTTTGATAAACAATAGAAAAAGTACACACAATATCACTATTTAAGATCATGCTAACCTGATAAGGCATTCGATCATTTTGTGATGATGAAGGTGACCCACATGAGCCATTTGTACAGCTTGAATCTCTAGTTGAATCACCTCTCCTATGAATTCTCAGATTCAAACTTCCATGAAGAATGTTTGGTTCAACATCACGCCCTTCATCACCTGACACTGATGTTTCGAAGTCCAACTCCAACTCCTCATCATAGTCAGAATCTTCCCTATCAGACCCTGGACCATCATGTGAAGCATCACTATTTGCCTCTGAGCGGTAGAGTATATCACTCAGTGACAATGCTCGCCCACTTCTGGGTTCAGACCTTGGTGCCCCATCATTTGCCTTACTAGTTTTTTCAGCTTCCCCTAGACATGCGAATATGTAATCAGATGCAGATATAGTTTTGGGAAGTAAGAGACAGTCGATTTTTTTAAAGAGGAAAAAATAGTAAGATTTAACATTTCGTACAATTCAACTAATCCATTTATTTCTACGACAACTTGTAAATAACCAGAAGAAAAATTTTGTAATTGCTATACTATAAGATGATTGATCCAGGGACTAGATTGCAACTAAAATATCAATGCCATGGATTTTTTTCTTCAACACAGACTAAGATAAAATGAGAAGTGGACCTTATCCAAATAAAACTGCTCTCAAGATGAGAAAAACAGCATATAACATTAAATCTACTCATGGTTTTACAGTCTACCAAAAAAAAAGGGTGATGATGCATTTTCCTTCAAATAAAAAAAAAATCTAATATTAGTCAAGAGTTTCTAAGGATGTGAAAAAGGAGAGAGAAAAATTTGGGAGATCTAATAAATGTAGATCATTACCAAAGCACGCTTCCTTTAGATGCATAGCATGGAAATTACACACCCTGTGTAGGTATAGTCAGAATCAATTTAACTGATAGGCTGCCTCTACTAACTCAAAGGGCTAAGCAGTAAATAAACATAGCATGATATCAACGACTCTCTTCTAAGACTTAACTTGTTTTATAGCAAGTGCATGAGTTAAAATACAAAGAGGTAAAACAATGATTTGACACCCAGAGTTGCTCTCATTTTATGCAATTGACAAAACCCAACCCACACTGTTGTTTTCAAGTTGCTCCCACAAAATCAAAGCTTTTTATCGGTAGATGCAAATAAAACTCTGTTATGCAAAAGGACAATATGGCGTCAAACATTCTTTACATGAGAAAGTACCTTGCAGTGAATTACAAAAACTACTGAATTATTTATCAAAATGAGTTCCTTGTCCAAACAGTTCAGTTATGGAGAAAAAACGAAAGCACTAGATATTGCAAAATACAAACCTGCAGCAAGATTCTTTTTTATATTCTCCATCAATACTGTTACTTCAGTATTGGCTGGCGCTGAAATTTGGGCAGCAATGGCAAATTCTAGAGCTTCCTTATGTTTTCCCAGCTGCAAGAAACTAAGAACATTTAACTAACCATAACAGAACAATAAATAAATGATATTGTCACTTCATCTTCATTGTCACGAATAAATGGTATTGTCAACTTATGTTCATCATTACTTGCATTCACTCAGCATTTCTCCAGATTCCCCCACCCCGAACCAAAAGGCTGCTAGGAAATCAGCCATCTACCATAAGCTAGTGCATGTACTAAACAAGACAATGATTGGTAAAACTGAATACTACACATCATGCTTTCATAAACATGATCCAGGATGTTTGGTCAAAGAGTAGAATTAAGACGGCAGCAGAGGCATCGGTCTGGTTCACCGGCGCAATTTTGACAGAGTAATGGGTAGCAAGCTGCATACTTGATGAGACACAAAGTGGTATTCATACAACAAACTTACCTGTGACAAAGCTTCAGACATATAATAAAGGGCTCTGAAGGAAGAACTGTCAATTCTTCGAGCATTATAGCAATCTCTTATGGCCATGTGAACATCATTTTTCCATTTCCGCTAGAAGAGAGAAAATTTCAGTACATTACAGAGAATCCATGACAAATAAATGATGCAGAAACCACACGATGAACAAAGTCTTGAAGAGACCTTAAGCAGCAAGGCAGCACGAATGCAGAGACATTCATGCCTAAATGTTGGGTCAATATCATGACCATGGCCATCCAAAACTTCATTGCATGCCTCAATTCCATAGAAATAATCTGTCCCCTCCTCTAAGGATTTTTCGGCAATTTGAACCAGCTTTCTACACTTCTCAAGCTGTAGCAGCCACATTAGACCAGTCATCAACATATAAATGATGAACAGCAGCATGACCCTAGCTCAGTAGCATCAAAGCAACACATTTTCCTACAACAAATATGATTAACAAAGAAACTCACCACGGAAGAACCATTGGTTTTTGAAGGAGTACGACATTTAAATGCACGAGATGCTAGTGGTTGCAGCTCTAGCACATTGAGTGTAGGTGTGAAGGTCATCAATTTTGAAGAATCTCCCATAGTATATCGCACAGCAGTCCCTCCACCTGCAAATCACAATAACTTAAGAAGTATAACCAATTGATAACTAAAATGACAAAGAAACGAGAAATACACCAACAAACATAAGATTAACAACAGAAATGGTTCAGCACACAAAAAGCGGCCACCATATATAAAATTGTAGATCAAATCTGAAGCTAGCATTGTTTTGACTTCAAAATTTACACCAGAAACTTCATATAACATTGTTTCTCTGGAGTGCAGACACTAAGCTGAGTATTTACAAAGGAATTCCAACACAGTCAAGTTATAAAAACACCACTGAGTAGGTTGAAGAAATGATCTTAACATGAATAAATCCAAGCTCACGAGGTGAAGAAGCTTACTATGATTCACATTCATTAGATATACATGCTCTCCGCTATAACTGAGGAGAACCTCATCCCCATTTGGACTAAATGTCACATGAGTAAGGTGCAAGCTCGAACGTCCCTGAAAAGAAAAGGAGACCAAGTTGGAACTTCTAAAAAATACACTCGCTTCAACGATATTATAAATTATATAGTTTATTTCTTTGAGAATGAGAGGATAGAACAATTGTAGAAACAAGCAGTAAAGTAAAAACAAATTGACAAGAAGATGATGGACCAACAGCATGTTCACAAGGATTTCCAGAGTTATGATATGAACTAATTCCATCTTAACTGCCCACACAGTAATCTAAGGAAATAGGACAAATTATATCATCTCGTTTTTCTTCTCTAATAAATAAAGGATGGTTTAGTTCACAATCAAATCAAATAATTAAGTAGAAACAAAATAGTTAAGAAATTATGAACTGACATGCTCAGAAAGATGCATTGGGCAGAAATAGTTAACACAGGGAGGCGGGGACATTCTTTTCCTACAGGAAGTCAGCGGAGGCAGCATCCGTCTATCATATAATCGAGCAAAGGCATCACTGCAAACATTCCAAGAGAAATCAGTTAAAACAATAATGATTATGAAGGGAAAAAAAATTAGGCAAAAGAGAACTTGGATGGCAACAGACTCAGACCTCCCACCAACCAGGAGCAAATGAGGCCGACTGGTACTGATGTCACAAGATTTCAGAGCAAGGCTTTGCTTAGGAGGATCAGCTAATGACCTCTTTGCTCCAGACCGCAAGTCAAGCTGTCATCACGTACTAAATGTGAAAAACAATTATGTTCAAGTATAGAAGCTTGATGAGGAAAGAATTTTTACAGACAGACACTGCAGAATCAGAAATGCAAGCAAACATCATAGATTTGGGAATCTTTTAACTGCATTAACCTAAAGTTCAAGGGACACAAATGACATCTATAACTTGTAAACATAAGCGCTATACCTGTAGTTAGCATTCAAGCCAATTAATTGTGGGTAATATACAAAATCGCAGTTTAAATAACATGACAGAAGTTTGAACGAAACATATTAAGGCACATTGTTCCGAACATGAAGAAAAAATAGATATTGATAGATTCTGACCTTTAAACTGTTAGCTCCACATGCAAGTTAGACAACCTTTTGGTCGGTTATCATTGCCACACTCAACAAAAAGTATATTGTGCAACTTTAAGCTAATAATCCAAATGCCTACACTACTGCGTTTAGATTTACCATGCCTAGTATGGAAAATGACTGGAGGTATCCTTTTTTCTTTTTTTACCATTCTTTTTAATTTAAAGTTTTTAACATCTCAAGTACTGGAAGAGACACCTCTCTCATGGCTATTAATGGCAACATGTATAGAAGTAATAGAAAGAACCAATCACACACAATCAACACTAAACAAACAGCATTTCACAAAAAAAAAAAAAAAACAGCATAACTATCCAGTCCAAAGTATTGCTATGAAAACTTCAATACAGCAGGAAAACTAAATGCAAAGAGAAGAATTCTCGGATCTCCAGAAACTCACCAGAATGTTGCAACATTCATGGGGATTAGATCCTGTTGGCGGGCATGAAGACCCTTCCCGAAAATCATGCTGTCTAAGTGTTCCATCTTCACTTGCACTCCAGACAACATTGGGGTTTCCAACTTCAACCTGCAGGGGAGGTGAAGGTTGTGGTCACAGAAATGCTAAAGCAATAAGATTATAGTACAAATTAAAAAATTGACCAAACGAAACAATAAAAAATATATGAATTTCGTTTTTCCATGTTCATAAAACAAGTCAAGGACTAGTTTTTGGTTGCCCAAAGGGACCAACTACTGAAAAAAAAAAAAAGCATGCACCCGCACACAGAAAACTAGTCAACTAGGCCATCTATAAAATGAGATCTTACAGCTAATTTTTTCACTCTTCTTGTATGACACTGATACATTGCTGATGGAGCAATAGAATTATCATCGCGATCCCCCCACTTAAGCGAGACAAATTAAATAAGCGAACCTGAAATGAGAAAACGGTCAGAGCAAGTAACCCAAATAATTAACTTGAGAATAGAGCATCAAATTTAAAAATTCAATTCATCGACAACATTACCTCTGCATCTCCAGCTCCAGAAACCACAAGCTCATCAGATGTTTCAGGGACAAATTTAGTGCAGAATATATTTGCAGAATGTCCAGTATCTATAGAATGCAGAAGCTTTTGACCAGTGTAGCTCCAAATATTCATCTGCAAAAAAAGAAGCATGATGAATATGTCCTCTTTCAATATGAAAAATGTCTTCGAGCGTGTTTATGTCTGTGCAGCAGTCACCCTCTACTTTAGTGCATCGAATTTGTCTGTCAATAGAATTCAAAGCTCTAAAGTAAAGTCAGTCATTAGTCAGTTACTATGTCCATTTCCCCTCAATCTCAGCCCACATTGTTTCTTGTTTTTTACGGCCAATCCAATCCAATCATACAATATATGCATTCAGAAACATAGGGGTGAACCTCCCCTCTATGAGGTCTGCAATTTTCCAAATCATAGGAACTAGAATGACTCAAATTGCAATGTACAGAAACTTGAAAAGCAAAATCTGACATAAAACACAAATTCAACTTCTCTTTTTATTTCTTCCAAATATTTTTCCTACACGTGGAACACTGTATAATCTTCAATAATATACAGAGGTATCATACCCGCGTGTCATCTGATCCAGAAATCAAGAGTGAGCCTTTAGAATTCCAGGCTATGGAATTGACACAACCCTGATGCCCCTGTCAGAGAGAGATAGAAACTTTCAGATAATCTATCTGTAAAATCTTAAAATACTTAGATAACAGATGCTGCATTGAGGAAAAATAGCATTACACAAGGTCTCCTACAAATTTCATCAATCAATCAACTGGCAAATAACAATCATTCATTAGAACAGGATGCAAATCTCAACTGGTAATCATTTCTTAGCCGCTTCGGCAGACATTGCTTACTACATCGATCAATAAGTATATATTCAGACAATATAATCAACAAACACCATTTCCAGCTACTGCCGACGAATGGGCTTTCCAAGAAAAAGACTGTAAGCGACAAGAAGAAAAAATTAAAACCCATACTAACCTCCAATTCTCTTTCTTTGTAGAGTCTCCGTACCAGTGAGGAATGCATTTGTAAACTGTGATTAACATCCTAAAAAAAAAAACATCTGCAGTTATACTTAAACCTTGTTAAGTCTAATTAAGCATTATACTTCAAACAATTAAACAATATAAAAAATAAAAAATGTACAATCTTTGGCCAAAAACACCTATAAAAATTAGAGAATTAACTAAAACCGAAAGAGGAAAATTCGATCGTGGTAAGAATTAGAAAAATATTAAGTAAGAGAAAGAGTGAAGAAAAATTACAGGGCTACTACCGAGGTATCTGCTTTCCAACAAATTATGGATATTACCATCGTGGAAATCATAATTATCCATTTGAAGTAGAGATATCCAGAAACCCTAACTCGATCAAAATCGAAAAATAATGGTTGATTAAATGATTAATCACAGCTACTGTTGTTGTTGTTTGTGCAGAGTCGGTTGATCGTTACGCACATGAGGTATGGTGCGGTGTCCCAATATAGACAAGAAACAGTACTATGATATTTGTACTTCGTCCTCGTGTGTCATCAATTTTCTACACTTCTCTACTGGAGGGAGGGTAACCGTGTGGGAATTTATGAACGGGGTTTTGGGTTTGTAGCGCTAAGATAAGGAGTAGGATTTACTGGTGTTGGGCAATTAAGCAGCCCTGATATTGTGATGAACGGTGCTGGTTGTGCTTGATAAATATTTGAGTTAAGGCTTCCCTACCTCCCTCAACTCTTTTTTCTATATTTAACAGGTACCTCTATTTGTTTTTATCTTAATATCATCCTTGAACATCAGATTTTTATCATTATCGCATCCTTTTGGGCATCGTGTTCCTACAACATGAAATTTTCATTTACATACTTTTTGGTTCTCTATTTTTTAAAAAAATTAATTTGGTCCATGTATTTTATTTTCCTGACAAAAAAAATCTTAACTGAAATTTTTTTAAGTCGTGGTATTTTACAGTAAATACAATTTGGTTTTTAAATTTATTTTTTTTAATTAAGTTCCTACATCTTGAATCGTAAATTTTGTGAATATTTTCAAAATAGATATATGATATTATAGAAAACAAAAATCCAATCAAATCATAATGATATTAACCACGATTATAAAACATAAAAACATACATGATCAATCAATCTAATCAAATAAAAATTATGACAAAGTTTAGGATCTAAGTTATTATTTTGAGATAGAATTCATTCTTATAATCTCATATATCTATTATGATTTTTTGGTTAAAATAGGGAAAACATTCTTTAAAAAATATATATATGTGGAAGGAAAATTCTCATAATGGATGTATGATACTATATATATAAAAAGTTTCATTTTTCAAACGGATGTATCTATTTAGATTCACTTAATTATTATCTTATTCATCAACCTATTTAAATTGTTTAACTAATTTTAATCAAGTTTATAATTTGATGTGTGGGAATTAATTAAAAAAAAGCATCAAGATAATATAGAATGCGATGTGGCATATCGAAAGCCTTAAGAAATGCATAGGAAAGAAGGTCGGATCAACCCCAAAAAAAGTGACCCAAAAATAGATTTTTCCTAACGTTTTAGGGTATATCTTACCTAGTCAATAATAAAACTATGTTTTATTCAAAATACGATAGTCAAAATTTTCAATTGAGGACTTTTTGCTGGAAAAAAATAAAATACAAGGACCAAAGTAAATATTAAAAAAATGCAAATGGATAAATTTTTTATGTTGTAAGAACATAATAGGTCTCATTTATTAATGGTGTTAGCAATACCAAGTGACAAAAGATGTAACCATGATGAAAAAGAAACATACAAAAATGATATTAACATTATGTGTTGGATAGGGAGGAAAGTGAAGGAGGGTAAAGAAAACGGGGAGGAAAGAAAATTTTTCTTCGTTTGTTTTGGGAAGGAAAGCAGATCGAAAGAAAAAAATATATTAAACAAGCCAATAAATGACGGGACCCATTTTTCTTCCAAAATTGGGAGGAAACATGGAGGAAAAACGTGATACATTAATTTTTCTTATTCACATTTTTGCCCTCTCGCCTTAGCCGTCCTCCTCTTTTGCTAACTCTCTGCAGTTTAACAAAACGGATCTACAAATCAAGTGAGTATTTCCTTCATTTTGGGTAGCCGATCTTAAGGTAAGAGGGTAAAAGAAAACCCAAATCATCGGTCTTAACAATGGCAAAAACACTTCGAAATAGCAACTCCGTCGCGAAGCACGATCGCGGCCCGGTCGACTACAACAACGGAGACCAACGTCCTTGCGGATCAATCCAACTTCTTCTTCATGTTGGAACACTGCGATTCCTCTTTTGTCTCCGCTTAATACGTCGCCTACGACGATGAATATGAAGTCTCGAGAGGTTCCGCCACCGTCGTCGAGGAATCGGGGAATGGAGAGGGACAAGTCGGTGGTGTTCAAGAAGTGGCGGCACCTAGTGGCTCCTTTTTTTGGGTTTTTACTCGAGGAAGTAATGGAAGAATTGTGTATAACGTACCTATTGTTGTCTATTTTTCATTTTTTTTTATTACAAGTTGAAAATTTAAATTGTAGGCTTCAAATTGCTTGGTTGTAGTCTCAAAATTTATTAGAGGTTATTTGGCATCTTTTGATTTTTACATTTTTTCAAAAAATTTGAAAGCTAAACAAAATGATTTTCGAAGCGTTGAGTGATAATTGTAGTAATCGATGGTTTTTTACTCTTTTTATTTATTATTGTTATCCAAGCAAATAAATTTCTAGCCTAATAATTGTTGACGTGCTAAAAGCTACTACTCGTATCCGACAATAAAAATAAAAACTATAGTATTTGATAAACAACTATTATATAGTCCGATAAGATAGAAGGTTTTGATGGATGTGTTAAAAGCTACAAAATTTTATTGCTCGTGCAATTTTTTAGATGGATTTCTTATACTAATGCAAGGTCGCTCGAAAATTGAAATGATATCCCGGCCAAAACACTAGGAAAAAAGAAAAGCTTTTCTTTTTTCCCTTCGCTTTTAGAATGGTTAGAACAATCAATTTGTAGAAGAAATTCCCAAAAATATCTAGTTTAACTATAAAACAAATTCCCTCAAATCTAAGCTATGAATTAGGGATCTTAATCGAGCATCTTCTACTAGGATTGATCACTCAAATTTTGGTTTCACCCATTGATCGGCAATAACGTATCTCGAACATGATTTTAGAGGAGGGAAGAACATGATTAAAAATATAATTTCAACCTTGAGTTAGCGTTTAATATATATATGTATATATATATCAAGTTAAATTATCAAAATTTTGTCATTTCGGATAGATGTTACATGCTAGATGTTTATTTGATTATCGTTTGTGCAATTTTAATGAAAAAAATATTCATACAAATTTATTATAAGTATTTAAATATAGAAATGTAATTATAGGGGTATTATAGTAAATATATAATAATTTATATTTTTTCTTTCCTCTTTATACAATTATCCAAACAAGAAAAATATACTTTATTTATTTTCATTTCCACTCTTATCCAAACAACAAATGAAAAATAGTTTTCTTTCCTTTCACTTTCTTTCCTCTCAAGAGGAAATATCCAAACACAGGTAAGACAAAAAATAATAAAATGACTTTTTACAAAAAAAAAAAAAAAGAACAGACTCATTTTGATCATCACCGTATAAATTATATTTGGGAGTTGCTGCTATTGGCACAACCTTCCTTTGTTGGCAAAATGTCTAAATAACCTTTTTAATTCCTTTTACTTATTTACCCAGAAGTTCGAAGGAATCAAAAACTAATCCCTTATCGTTTTTATTTGTCACACAACAAGATAACTACTCAATCGGGATATCAAAATTCCAAGTATCTCACCATTTTTTTTTTCGATGATCACTTCTGCAATATTGTCTAGTAACTAGTCATATATAAATTCATACAGGAATTTTCAACAACTCTAATCAAACTTAAAATTGAAGTCTACATCAATTCAAAAAAATTCATTCAAATTACAGATTTGAATTCTCATCTATCGAATAAAATACGTGAGTTGAACACTGAAGCCATCCACCACTCCTCTCCTTCACGACAAGAAACCATTCTTTTCTATCACAAAACATACAAGTGCTCCCTCAAAATCGACCTCATCGATATTTCTTTTCTGACCATTGAACACTGCAGATTTTATGAGAGAGAATTACTTGTTGTCCAGGCAACAAAGCAGCAGGGAAGAGAAAAAAATGATGATGATGGAGGATTGGATGTCATGATAATACTGCAATTTCTAGTGACAAATTTGGACAACGTAGAAAAAAGTATAGAATTTGAGCCTGAGCCGATGTGCAAACAGGGAGATGGAAGAGCAAAAGAAGATTTATAGTTTTTCGGTATATTAACAAAACATTTAAATAATTGTTAATATAATTAAAAAGTAGGTATTTAATGTTTTAAAAAGAAAAAGCTGTGCCAATGGTGGATGCCAATAGCAGCTCCCATTATATTTTAGCCACCACAGATTGTCAAAAATCAGCAACCCTTCACTTTGATTTTCATAGTTTAAAGTTTTCTGATATAAAATTCGAAGTTTATAAACATTTTCAGCAAGTCCGTGACATAATAGCTAAATAGCTGATGAGATCTAATTTCATAATGGCATTTTGATATTTTTTTCTTCTTTCTTTTTCATATTTTTTCTCTCGTCTTTTCCATTAAAAATCATGCACTGTTGTCTCACATAATTTTTTAAAATTCAAGAAAATAATTCAAAAAGCCAAGCCTTCTATCCATCATAGGGTTGTATCTAAACCTTTTTACATCTATTGATTGCTGAATCTGAGGAGTCAAAAATACTGTTTTTATCCGTAATATTTACTGTTTTATGATACAGTTGATATGTGATTTGGGAATTGATTTATCTAATAAAAATAAGTAGTGTTGTACAAACAAAATTTTCATACAAACACATGTGACATGGATTTTTATCATAAGAGACCAATTATTCATTAATTATAAGATTTATATTTTATCATTTATGACTTGACACGTCAATTTGTAGTATAAAAAGTATGATTGTAAATCATTTTCAAATAAAAATGTCGGTTTGGGCCTAACTATAAGAGATCGGCACGAAATCAGTGATTAGTGTTGGCTGTTGGGGCACGAAGAGAAACCAGGCTTCAAATGGCAGGTCCAAATAATGAAGGGCCTTTCTCTTCACATGTCTTAAAAGTGTTTTTGGACGTGACCGGAAAGCCTGGGCGCCCATATAAACCTTAAAGCAAAGGGTACCAAAATCAAACCTAGTAAGTGGTCTCCCTCAACTATAGACTTGCAATAAACACAATAAAACGATATTCATGGGTTACTGGAAATCTCTTTACAGAATGCACCGTTTAACCCATCGTTTTAGTTCGGGACCAATTTATTAGTAGTATTCTACAGGTTACACGAAATTCTTTAGCAACCTATTAAGTTTGCTGGAGTTGACAAGAAATGGAATATGAAAAAGTTGCCGAAACCTTTTCTTGAAAATGAATAATTCTTATTCCATTTGGAACAACATCGACATTAAGGAAAGCAATTTTGTTCTTGTACCAAGAAGGATAAACCATATCAAAGAATTGATACGGCTAAGGTCATACAGTAGATGGAATATATTCCCCCCGAGCTAGCTCACCCAGCCTGCAAGAAATCTTAATAGATGGCAAGTGGTTTACAGTTAGTACTTCATAAAACTATATGATCTACTCTTTGTTCTTTTCGTGCAAAAAATGCCTCAATTTTTTTTTTTTTTTTAAGGACATGAACCAAACAAAAAATTGGACGTGACTGGACACCAGGTCAAACAATTGAATTTCAAGAACTAAAGATATGCCAATAGGTATGTAGTTAAAATACCCGACACCTTTTGATTTCACTAGTAACTTTTAGTTTCAATGTAAGGATTAAACAAAGTTTCGACAATAGCAGGATATAAGAGCAAATTCTTCTTGCAAGAAATTCAATTGGGTGGAATAAAACAAATTTCCTTTTGAAAGAAATTCCTTTTTCCTTACAAAATAATGATTATCACATATTTTTTTTAACTTCGCTTTTATCTTCGTCTGGTTTAGGTATGCTATATTATTGCCAGCTACACAAAAACATCACAGTACTTGAGAACCCAGCCCGATGCGTTATCTGAGCCGAATCTAAACATTCCCTTCTTAATTGCAATTTTCTTTCTCCCAATTTCACTGTAGAGATAGCAGAAAAACAGGTCACCCCCATGCCAGTATTCACATGTGCTTTCTTCCCTAAGTAATGCAACTCTGTGGTCCCGTCGCAGAAACATCATCTCCATTCACCAGAAGGACGGAAAATTTTGCACTATTTCATAGAGGAAAGGAATCACGCATTAACACATCACTGTCCCATTTCATAAATTTGAGCATTGGGACACAGGTACGTACGCATAAAGACACCAATAAAACCAAGCAAATTTAATTACACCCACCCATACAAAACCACTATAATCACAAAAAAGTCATGAGATTGAACATACTCATAGATAGCCCGCTCCATGCAAACAAACAAACACCACAAAGGTTGTTCCACATTCAAATTACAACACCATTACAGTTAATAGGAGATAATGAGTACAATAGTACGTGGAAGGATACGTGTAATGGCGAATTGGGGCCACAATGAGAAGTTGCAAAGGTAAAATGAGGGATGCCCTCGCTCGTGCAAATGTTATACATCACAAAAAAGATAACACCACAAAACATAAAAAACTTTGACAAGAATACAGACAGGGATGAAAGTGAGAGTTGGGTCCCAAGACAACCAAGAAGCGTGCATTCATCCTCTTTTGGGGGTCCCTCTACAACAACTAGTCTTCCCATTCACACAACCACCACCCCACGCCCAGGTGCGAGTGCTACTTTCCCTAAACCCTAAGACATAGCTTAATGATTCACCTTCCTTTATCGGGACAATATTACGCTGCACTTCCATTCTTCTTTATAGAGACTACAGCAATTTTTTCATAATCCAATAGCATGCTGATTTGCAACTTAAATCATCATTGAACATTGAACAAAGACTACAAGAGATGTACAGCTATCTTTCCTCCCTTTCCCTATTTTTCACCCTCCTTCGCAAGGAACTATTTGTCCTGTTCGGAGCAACCGCAACATCATTTTTCACCTTAATTATTCTGCACACACCACTAGTAATATCTAATTAATAATAATAGAACTGACGATACCAGGTAGGACTACCCAGCATTACTGGCAACATATATCGATCCTCATGGAGCATCAAGTCCTAAAGCTTTCACTTTGAACTTCAACGACTTCAAGTACTCAATAGCTTCTTCAAGAACGACAATTGCATCCTTGCCCTTTCCACCAGGAATTAGGTTCTGTAGAATGCTCACAGTCTCACGAATTCTCTCTTTTCTAATCCTCTTGCTGCCTGATTCTGAACCCATTGCATCTGACACCGAATTTGTGCCATTGCCACACCTGGATTCTGCATCATCCTCGTACTCAAAACCTCTGGTGGGTTTCACAGAACTAGCTGTGTCCATGAGCCATGGAACATTAGTATAACCTCCATCAAACAGCTTTCTCTTTTTACTTGAACCATCAGAACTAGCAACCTCTTCCGTACTTCCGTCAGACCAATATCGCTTATCGTGAGTTGTCATTGTACTAGGCGAATGACCTGTACTAGTAACTTCTTCATCCTCAGTGTAGTCACTGTCATCATCGGAGTAAAGCAAGGCATTCAGTTCTTCAGTGTCCTCATGCGAATCATTTTGCATATCAATCCCATCATCTTCAACAAATTCGTCAGTTGCTATTGGCTGATGAAAATTTTGATTTTCTTTGGCCCCAGGATCTTCCCTATTCAAATCGAAGGCAACTGTTGGTTTTGGGATCCAAGACTTGAAACCCTCTACGGGCGTCCCAATTCCAGAGCTAAAGATCAAAGTTGTTTGATCGCCTGACTGGTCAAAAACAAGGAATCTTTTCTGAGCACAACCAGAATCTGACTTAGGCATGATGTCCCCCTTACTGAAGCGAGGGGCAGTGGGAAGTTTCTCTCTGAGAACAGTGTCCAAAAGAGGCCTTTTCTCTTTAAGAACAGAGTTTAAAGGAGGCATTAAGGCCTGTCGGAAGCGAGGCAAACCATAAAACCATCCATGAGATTCGTTTTCCTGACTAACCTGCAAACGCAGTAGCTCAGCAAATGGATATCCAGGCAGAGTCCCATTTGGGGAAACCATGTTAATGTTGGGATCCATTAACAAAGAAAGAGTATTTTGCTGCCCAAAGGAAAGTGAAGCACCCAGGTAATTAGAATTGGGTGATTGCCAATTAAATTGCTGCTGAGGAAACAAAGATCCCCAATCTTCCCCCATTCAATCAAAACAATCACCTGTAATACACGGATTGAAAAGGATTTTACACCTCATAAAAAATTTAGGAGAATTCACTACTGAGTTAACGCAATTAGACACAGAAAAACATACCAGGAAAGGATTTGTGCTGTAGTAGAAGTGGCTGTTCGCTTTCTTCTTCTTGTAGTAATAATGAAAAAAAGTAAAAAAATCCAGCTTAACTTGAAAACGAAGGTGGAAAACTAAATCTACGTTACAGGTTTAAGCAAATGACGGAAATATTCGGCCTGGAAAAAAAAATCACAGGAAAAATCAGTAAAAGAAAGGCATAGCATAAACTTTCCAACCATTATCAAAGACAAAAGAGAAGAAGACCAAGGAATCTAAAGCATGAAAAAAAGGAGAATATTAAGCCAATGAATGGCACAAACAAGCACACATATACGTGGTATCTAATTCCAAAAAAGAAAAAAAGTTCCAACGAATAAAATTAACTTGACTAACCTGGCAATCCTGAAGAGGTTGAAAGCATGCTATAATTCTAACTATAATGGTGGCAGACCCAGCAATCCCATTTTCGTGTTTCAATGCCCGAAAATTTGTTTGGCTCGCTGCTTGGCACACCATAACTACTTCCCAGCCCTTCAATATACTGATAAAGGCAAGAACGAAATTCCAGAGAACAAAAAACAAAGTACTCGCAATCCGTAAACGAGGACAAAATCAATTGAACAACAGAAAACGAGATTAATCGTCAACAAAAGGACACCAAATACACGTAATGGAAGGGATACGTAGACCAAGAAATAAACAACCAAGTAATCAGATTTTTCACCAAGGAAACAAAATGACAAAGAAAGCAGAGAGAAAAATTGGATTTGCTACTATTCAGCTAATCTGACGAACGTAACAGGGAACAACAACGAAAAAAGTAGATCCCATTGAGAATAGTGGAATGACAAGACGAAAAAGACCAAGAATGAAGGATAGTATAAGAAATTTACAGGATCACTTTACAATAGAGGTTCAATGAGATAACTTTCCGATTGACATCAATAGAAAGACTCAGAAACCACCGCATACTGTTCCTCTCCCAAAAATATCGCCACAGTTTTTTCCTTCACCAATACCAATTCAACAACTCTGCAAAAGGATTTTAACATCAGAAAAACGCCTCATGTAAGGAAACTTAAATCCATAATGATTTTGACAGCTACCATAAATCAGATCTTTCATCTCTAAGAAACCTCCGAGGAAGTTGTATGTAATAAATTGGAGCGTCGGCAAATTCAATGTTTTCTACTTTCATTTTCCTAAGATTTCTCAGCTAACCAAACAGACTGAATTAATTGAAAATAGCTAGACAAAATTAACTTCATTGATCAAAGCTAACAGCAAGTACAGCAAATCCAAGCAAAAACAGATTCACGACTTAGAAACTAACATAGTGAAGATCTCATTTTTTTCAGTGACTGCTGACAACAATAACCCAACAGTTAACATGACAAAGTCCATTTCTAGCTGGACAATTTGCAGATAAAATTAACACAACCCGATCTCGTGTAAACAATCAAAGAATATCAAACCCACAAAACAGAAAATAGTTGAAGAACTCACAGTGAAGAATAAACCGTTTCAACTGCTCAATTCTTGAACTCGAACTCGAACTTGAAACCCAGATCGAAAACAGCAAACGCAAACAGTACTGCACTGAAAGAAGGCCTTGGTTTTTACAGACAGAGAGAGAAGCAGAGAAACTATAGTCAGAGTGGAAATATTGAGAGTGGACGGAAAGAGAGATTATATAGAAATCAAATTGACCGAATTGTCCCTGTGAGTGGCAATAATAAAAAGTGATACACAATAAACACAACAAAAAAGAAAAGCGAGTTTCATACATACGTGCGTGCGTGAGGAGTGCACGCAAGGTATTAGTGTACAATCATGATGCACCGTAAGATTACCCTCCTCCCCCTCCCGCCAACCCCTCCCTCCCTCTCTCTCTCTCCGTGTGGGGTGGGAGGATCATGACATTGGGTTTGGTTATTTCCGAACCCAGCTACAACCCATGTTCAGTCACTCCTGTCGGCTTGGAGTCTTGGAATTCCACTTGGGCTTACTGTTTTTCTTATTTTCCAAATTATTCGTAGGTTGTGAATGCGGTTTATTTTTTTGGTTGCTCCAAAATTTATATGATTTAACATTCTAGTTATTGTTTTCGGATGGTCTTTCAATTCATTGAAACCTATTTCCTTTTTCTTTTTTTACACTCTCTTGTTGTTTTCATCATACTTATTTTTAACTTCAAAATTTTGGTTATGTCAAAATTGACATAATATTAAGGTTGAGATGTGATTATTACAAAATATTATGTTCGGGTAATATTTAGATATAATAATTTTGGCATCTTAAAAAATAAAAATTTAAATGAGTGAAATATAATTTTTTTCCTTTAAAATAAATTAAAATCCATGCTATATTAAGATTTTTAAAAACTACGTGTTATGCTTGAATTTACATTGAAGAGCTATGTTGAAGATATTTTTATCAACCATTCTTGCTAATGCGGTAAAAAAATACATAATAATTTTTAAAAGATTTTATATGTTCAAATTCAATGGGTTATAAACTTTGAATTATATTTTTTTATCCTATGATGTTACTTTAAAACCGTCATACTTTTTTAATCTCAATAATTATCTAGATATTCTCAATGAATTCATATAAATAAAAAAGGTATAAAATAATCTTGCTAATGTAAATAACATTTATGATGATTTTATATCAACTATGAAATTCTCATATACATGTGTATATATGTTATGTATGTATTATCCTACATAATGTTTTATATAACTCACATGTTTTTTTTTTTAATTCATCACGAAGCTTATGGATCTTTTACTTGAAAAAACAAGAGAAGAAAAACTTTGTTTATTTGATTATTCATCTCGAAAGGAAAAAAATACATACAATTCAACTTATAGTACATGGGAGCTAAAATTAGGGAACTAGAATTAGGAAACTAATTACCACTAACAAATAGGACCTAATTAGGAATAATTACGCTAACGATCAATAACCTAATTAGGAATAATACAACTTTACAATCTCAACAATTACGAAAAGAATAAAAAATCTCAACACTCCACCTTAAGTTAATGCATAAATGTCATATATACCCAACTTCCCAAAACATTTTGAGAACACTTGATTTGAAACTACTTTGGTAAGAATATCAATCGGTTGATCTTCGACCAAATCTTTGATAATTCCATAATCTTTCTATCTAACTTCTCCTTAATGAAGAATCTGTCTACCTCAACATGTTTTGTTCGATCATGTTGGATAGGATTGTGAGCAATATCATAAGCAGCTTTATTGTCACGAGTACAATCGGATTGGTTATCTAGGTGGGTAACCCAAATCTTGTAAAAGAATTCTTAGCCATGACACTTCACAAAGTCCAAGTGTCGTACTTTTGAATTCGGCTTCGCATTTGATCGAGCAACATTTTGCTTTTTACTTCTCCATATTACAAGATTACCACTCACAAATGTGAAGTAGAAGTTGAGCGCTTATAATCTATTGCTCTAGCCTAATCGACATAAGTATACACCTCTATGCCTTACCAATTTGTATTTTTAGTGAACAAAATTCCCTTTCCAATAGCAAACTTTAAATACCTTAAAATGCATATAACTGCATTCATATGTAATTCTCTAAGATTATGCATAAATTGGCTAACAACACTCGATGCATAGGCAAGACCAAGTCTCGTGCGAGCTAAGTACATCACCTTCGTATAAGTCTTAGGTATCTCCCTTTGTCAATCGGTACTTGGTCTATTTCAACACATAGCTTCAAGCTCGCCTCTACTTAGTGTGTCAATTGGTTGACATGCTCGATATATCGATCTCTTGTAATAAGTCTAATACATACTTTCTTTGTGACAAAAAAAATTTCTTTCTTTGATTTAAAAACTTCGATTCTAAAAAAATATTTCAAGGAACCAAGATCTTTCATTTCAAACTCTCTAGATGAGTACTTTTGTAATGCCTTCCTTTCGTTTGGATCACTCCCAATAACTACCACGTCATCCACATATATAATGAGAGCGGTGATCTTATCTTGCCTCTTTTTAAAAAAATAAAGTGTGGTATGAATTGCCATGGTGGTACCCAAAATGTTGTCATAAACTTCATGAACTTTCCAAACCATGCTCTTAGAGACTATTTTAGCCAATACAATGATTTTTTCAATCTATAAACTTTTTTATTACACCTTTTTGGTGCCATACATCCTGGTGGAAGCTCCATATAGACTTCTTCGGATAATTCTTCATCCAAAAAGGCATTTTTAACATCAAATTATTGTAGTGACCAATCCAAGTTTATAACTATAGACAACAACACTTGAACGGTATTTATTTTAGCTACAAGTGAAAATGTCTCCGTCTAATCAATTTCATAGGTTTGGGTAAAACCTTTAGCCATTAGTCTTGCTTTGATTCATTCAATTATGCCATCTCGCTTTATATTTTATAATGTAAACTCATCGACATCTCATTGGCTTCTTTCCTAATAGGTAATTAATAAGCTCCCAAGTTTTATTTTTTTGTAAGGAGTTTATTTCTTCGATCATAAGTGACTCTTCCACTATGGATTAGTAAAGCTTCATGCACACTTATTAGGAATAGCTATAGTAGATAATTGATTTACAAATGACTTATTTCATTATGACATATTATGATTAGATACATAATGAACCATAAGATATTTAACTCAACTCAAAATTTTAGGTTGATATATAGGTTTAGGAATACCTGCGGGAAGAAGCTTTGGTGATTGTTTCTTGAGTGGTTCGGTAATTAGAACGGGAGCATCCTTGGTAAATTATTGGTATGGTATATTAACGAGGGACTAAAACTCTTCAATCGATGGACTCATATCCCCTAATTCAACCATTTCTTCATGCTTCAAATGATCATTAACGCCATGATCCATAACCACTTCTTCATGCTGCGAGAGATCATAATCCAAAGCTTGAATTTCCTTTTGGTACTCCTCCAAAGTTCGGACTCGGAGGAAAAATACATCGAGTCTTCATGAAAAACTCGTATCTATCGTTATGAACATACATTAAGTAGGAGGATGATAACACTTGTAATCCTTTTAACTTCTAGCATATCTAAGAAAAACACACTTTAGAGCTCATGGAGCTAGCTTATTACTGTTGATGTTTATGGATGTGTACAAATACTACACATCCAAAAACACGATGAGGTAAGTTTGTAACAAATGGGCAACCAATGCATCGGTAAGTGCTTGAAAAGGCATTCGAAATATAATGGAGTGCGAGGGACTTTGGTTAATTAAATATGCTACGTGAAAAAAGTGCTTTTTGTAATAAGATAATGGCATACAAACTTTGATTAATAAAGCATGAACAACTTCTAGCAAATGTTGATTTTTCCTCTTGACCACCCGATTTTGTTTAGGTGTACCAATATAAGTAGTTTTATTAATAATTCTTTGTGTATCCAAATATTTCTTTAGTCCAAAACTTTAATATTCTCCACCATTGTCATTGTGAAGAACCTAAATTTATGCATTGTGCTAAGTTTTCATGATTTAATGAAATTTCTAGAATAACAAATCTTTTGGACTTTATTAACCACAACCAAACCATCCTTAGTACAATCATTAATAAAAGTAACAAACCAATGAGATCCACCTAAAGTAAAAATTTTGGATGGACCCCAAACATCCGAATGAACAACCATAAAAGGCGAGAGGACTTTTATTTAAACTTGATTAAAATGAATTTTGATAACTTTTTGTAAGTTCATAAACATCACAACAAAAAGTATAAACATTAATCTTTTTGAACAAGCCGAGAAATAAGTTTTTGCGATACTCGAAAGATGCATACCTTAAACATCGATACCATGGCCGGAGTTTAGCTTTATTCTTCTCCACCTTAGAGCCATCCTCTGTCAAAACTTGATGTAACTTGTCAAAACTCCTTGACATTAAGTCCAAGTAATATAACTTCCCTCGCCTAATACCACAATCAATTTTCTGCTTGTGTTTGGATGTCATTGAAAACATAAAAAATCAAGCTAAAAAATTAAAACACAAGATAAAGCCATCGTTATTCGAGAAATAGATAGAAGATTATAATCCGAGGATGAGACAACCAAAACAAATATAGGTTTAAAGTATTAGTGAGAGTTAAAGATCCTTCCTCAATAATTGGGATCTTGTTACCATTGGTAATAAAAACATTTTTTATGAGAACTATTCA